CCTGTCTAGAGGGATGATGTAAGTTTCTGAAAACCATTATGCCAAAGGTGGTTTCAGTTCAGAACAAAGAGCTCAGGCTAAACTCTTACAGTGTGACAGGGCCAGGGTGATGGGGACACTGTCTTCCTTATATCTGCATATCAAAGAGTTGTCTCCCAGGTCCTCAAGAAAAACAAGGCTGGGTAGAGATGAAGGCTTGAAGCTTATTGAGCTTTTATAAAGATTGGCAAAGAGCCTTGACAGAATGGCTGTTAAAAAAAAAAAAAGCATGAATTACAGTAACCACTTGCCACTACAAGCACTGAACCTTGAAGGCTAAGGGAAAGAAAGCAGACACAAAGGGACTCACAGGGTATTGAGTCCATTATAGGAAAGGGATCTAGAAAAGGGAATTCATGGAAACAGAATGTAGATTTGAAATTATTAAGCTTTCCGTCCTCCTTCTCCCCCTCCCCTATTCCTCCTTCCCTCCCTCTCTCCTTCCCTCCTTCCCTTCCTCTCTTCCTCCTAGTACTAAGGAACAGGTGGAAAGACAGAAGCAAGAACTGGCTTTTCAAAGGCCTGGCCTTGGTGGCAGCTGGTGGTCTGAAGAGCCGGGGGAAAGTCAGGGCTTAAATTTTCTAGGTGGGGCCGCCTGTAGTTCTAGAAGAGAAAGAAGCTAAAAAAGATGGAAGAAACCAAAGCTCAGACCTGTTGAGGATCCTTCATCCCACCCTATTCCGCCACATTTCACCTACAGTAGATCCTTGGAGTCCAGGACACCGCCATTGTGGAGAAACTGCGCATGCTCAGGATGCAGAGCCGTCAGCCGCGAACTGCGCATGCTCTGGTGCCTAGCGTTTAGTCGCGTAGAGTGCAAGCTCAAGATACAGAGCGCTCAGTCACAGACTGAGGGCGCTGCGGACACGTGGGGTTCTGTCATGTGTCACGCATGTTCAGGATGCATAGCCTGTGCATGCTCTGGACACATGGGTTTTTTCCAGGCATGTTCTGTGCATGCTCAGCTTGTATAGGGCCATCACGTGGTGCGCATGCTCAGTACGCATAGTCGCGCACCGTCCTGTTCTGCACGTGCTGAGGCTGCATGGAGTTGTCATGAACTGCGCATGCTCGAGTGGTTCTCTCCTCCCGCCCCCCCCCCAATGCTGCTGGACTCAGTACACTGTGCCGCTAAGGCTCAAGGTCACCTTCAGAACACCCTGCGCGGGGCAGAGACGAAGTGGCGGTTGGGCCTGCCCCTGGGATCCCCGTTGGGCTCCCGCAGCCCTGTGGGCTTGTGCCAACCCGTGAAGGGGCCGAGAGGAATTCCCGGGGAATGACAAACGACAGGAGCCGGCCTGCGTGGAGTCCGCTTTTTAATGCTTTATCCATAATGCAAACAGGCATAAGTAGGCTTTGTTGTTGTTGAATCCCATAAAATCAGGAGAGGAGAGCTATACAGAACAGAGCATGCGGCGAGCACAGCCTGGCCGACCTCGCGGAGGGGCTGCGGGCGGGCGCCGGCGCACGGAGCGGGGCTGGAGCGCGGGGACACCGGGCCGAGGTGAGCAACGCCGGGGGTCGCAGGGCGAGGGGCGTCCGAGATGCCGACAGCGCGTGCGTGGGGAGCTGGGCCTCCCCCCCACCGCGCTGCCCACGGGCCCTGCACGGCCACCTTGTGGGTACAGCCACAGCACCCCACCGGCCGGGCCTTCTCCAAGGCCACTGCGGAGCCTAGAGCAGGGGCTTACAGGACAACATGGCCACCAACATGGACGCAGGGCCCGGGCCTGGCCTCCCGCCCCGAGAACCAACGCATGGCATTAGGCATTCTATTGTCCTTGAAGTTCAAGAGCAATGACATCATAAAGGGGGATCTCCAGTCCTGCACTGGGACAGTGGCCGCTGTCCGGCCACCTATGGGGTTATCGCAGCAGAAGACCTCTATGAGCTTCTATTTGCAGAGGCTCAACATCCTAAGAGAGCCGGGACAGAGAAGGATGATCCAGTCCCCAGAGGCCTGCAGTTGGGAGGCCCTGGGACAGGCACACCTAAGGTTAACAGCCATTGCCTGAGGGGTGGTGCTCAGCGGTGTGTGAAGGCACACTCGCTGCTGCCTGCCAAGGTCACTGAGCTGTTAGGAACGGATGGTTTTGGACAGCCATGCCTGCTTGTTCCACAGCTCATAAATGCTCCAAGGCCTGTTGACTTGCGACCTCTCCCTGTAAGTATTACAGGTTGAGTGTCTCCTGCCTGAAATGCATGTGACCAGAAGTGTTTCTGATTTGGGAGTTTTTCTTCTTCTTTTTTGAAGTTGGGAAACATTTAGGTTCTATAACAGGGTATCTTGGGGATGTACCTTTTGTTGGGCTATGGAGCCTGAACTAAAAACCACCAGCAGAGGGCAGCACTTAACCTGAACCCTGGACTAGAACTAAACTCATCCCTACTCTCTCACTTCTGATAGGCTGCTGCAGACAACTTGCTGTTGGGTTATCAGGAGTTCTAGAAGAGGGAAAGGCATCAGGGCTGGTCTTCTCTCTCTAGTCAGGAGCTATGAAGGAGCTTGTGTTGGTGGTTCAAGGATCTTAAAAAAAAAAAAGTCCCCTTTTGGGGGGAATGGACATAGCCTGGATTCAACCCCTAGCATCTCCGTCTCTGTCTCTCTCTGTTTGTGTGTGTTTCTCTCCCACACATGAGCTCCTCTTGGGAAGAGAGATGAATATGGGTTGCATAATCATTTCTTTGGACTCCCTGATAAAATTTAAGATGCTTTTCCTCTGCCTGCCTGTGGCTAGAAGTGTTGCCGTACACAGGAAAGAGGTATCTGGTGTGAAAAAGGGCTTTTTTTTTATCTGGTTATGGATAATCAATCCTATGGGAAACTTGCTTTGGAGATGAAAGCTGGGATCAATCCTTGGACACTGCAGTTTAATCCTGGGGAATGAGTGACATTTTAGAAACCTTCCCCAAAGTCTCAACAGATTGGGAAGAAACCCTCTGGGGGGAGGGGAGGAGCTACTTGGGACCAGATTGTGTAGATCACGGCGGCTACTGGCTTTCCTCCAGGCTAGAGACTGCCATTGTAGGATTCCAGTGCCCAGTCTCTATCCATGAAGACTGAACAGGAAAATTTGGGATTCAAAGAGGGCAGGTACAATTGCAGTTTGGATAAAACTCACATTCCAGGGCTGGGCATGTGGCTCAGTGGTAGAGTGCTTGCCTAGCATGCAGGAAGCCCTGGGTTTGATTCCTCAGTACCATATACACAGAAAAAGCCGTAAGTGGTGCTGTGACTCAAGTGATAGAGCTCTAACCTTGAGCACAGAGAGGCCCAGGGGCAGAGTCTAGATCCTGAATTCAAGCCCCAGGACCAGCAAAACACAAACAAAAACAACCCAAACATAAAAATCCCCATTCCAGGGCTGTGACATCAGTGGAGGCCACTAAGGAGAGGAGAGAAAAGTGAGACGTGCTTTGCCTTTTGACTTTAAGGGAGCCCGCAGGGTCTCTGTACCCCAACTGCAAAGCTATGCAGGCCGCTGAACAGCATCTAGTCACTGTGAGAAAAGGAAAGGTATGTTTCTGACAAAATAAACCAACAGAACTGGGAACTCAGAGCTCATCCCTTGTTCTTGGCTGTCTCTGAGTTGCTCCTTCCCCTTGACTTCCAGCATTGCAGTGAGAGTAGGACCCTTCTGTGCCATTCACTCTGAGGAACTCGGAGTCCTCAACACATCACGGTGCCCATTTGTCTTGGATCGAAGTGGAAGCTATTCATCAAAATTATTTTAGCAGGTTAAAAATTTAGGGGATCAAGTTTAGAAAGTCAGAAGCCCCAAGGGCTAAGCCCACCCTGGGTCCCTGGTTCCTAGGAAGTGGCATGGTTCTTTCTGAAGGCCGGCCTCTCCCCCTCTCCCTCCTGATTCCTTATAACTGTCTTCCCGTATGGTATCCTCCCGAGTGAAGTGGCAAACCCCATTTGAAGGAATAAAAAAAGTAACAGTTGTTTTCTTCCTGACCGTTGCTTCCAGGCTCCCAACATTAACGTTCAAGCCACTCATATTCATTACAATGTGATTTGCAGGAAACTGAGGGTGTTCCCTGCCCCCACCCCCTTTCCTTGGCAAAGTGGAAAGGTCCTATTTGCACATGGATTCCACAGACAGGATGAATTGTAGTCTCCAGGGCATGGGGTTGAGATTGGCTGGGGCAGGGCTCACTGAATGTGCTCCCAGCACATGAGATGGGAGTCTGGACAGGGAGTTTACCTCTCCACTGCCTGGGGTCTATTTCCCAGTGAGTGCTCTGCTGGCTGGTATGGTGAGTTAAATGCATGGAGAAATATCCCTTTTAGTTCTCACATCTCCTTCCACAGCCCTTGCCTGGCCTTGACAATCAAGGAGCTCCATTATAGTCCCGCAGGCTGACTTAACATGGTAGAGGAGTGTGTTTGTACCATGGTGGGTCCTCATCAGGGGATCTGATCTATGATTGACATAACCGCACACACAGATGTCAGAGGGAGACCCGGGCCTATCACACGCACGCACATGTACGAGCAAAACAGAATCATAGAAAAGGATCAAGGGGTCTTGAGTGGCTGAGGGACTGGCTCAGGAGACTTCTGAGGTCCAGTGCCTGCAGCCTTTTCAAGGGACCCTGCAGGACAGACCTGAACAGGAGCGACAGCCGGCCGTGACCCAGTGGATTCATGCACCCGCAATCTGCCTTTGGCAGTGAAGGGTGGGGAGGGCACGGTTTTGTCAGAGCCACTGCAGTGTATAAAGGCATTGCATTGCAGCAGGAAACACAAGGAGACCCAGGAGGGCGGATGACACCACTGAGGGGCGGGGACCAGGACACAGCGGAGGACGAGAGGCAGAGCAGGGTCCTGGGGGAAGAGGGGGTCCCATGGCAAAGGTTCAGCCACGTGTGTCCATGCTTAGGAACCTGTGGCTGCCTTGGCTGGAGCACTTAGGGGCAGCCACTGTGCCAGCCATCTGGGCAGAGAGATCCAGTTAGGAGCTGAAAACCCTGTCAGAGGAAAAGGAGGAAGGAATTAGTGCTGTGACTGCTGAGGTGTTCTACTTCCTTCAGAAGTCTTAGAGGCCTAGGGGTGGGTATGGAGGCTTACGACTGTAACCCCAGCACTCAGCAGGAAAAGGCAGGAGGATCTTCAGTTCCAGGCCACCCTGGGCTACAGAGTGAGTCCCTGTCTCAGAAAAAAATGAACTAGAAACCTGGGGAAACCATCACTCTGGAGGATGTTTCTTCTGTAGCCTTAGTGTGTTGGATGAGATACACGGCTCCCCTTGAATGCATGACTTGATGGACAAATGAATGTCTGGGCTGCTGTAGCCAATATCCAGCTCAGAAATTCCCTTCCCTCCAGGTAGACATAACTCCATGCCAGCTATATGGCTTGGATGGATGAATAAATGAAGGAGTGAAGGGAAAAATGGATAGAGGACTAGATAGATGAATGGATGAAAAAAGAGATATATGTGTATATGAATGAATGGATGGATTGGTGAATAAATGAAGATAAATGATGGATAGATGGATGGATGAATGGACAGATGGATGATCTGATGGAAGGATGAATGGATAGCTGGATGAACAGATGGAAAGTTGGGAGAATAGATGGCTGGCTGGATGATGAATCCTCACCAACACAGCTGCATGCACAGGCTCATGAAAGAAGCTTTTGACAATCAGTCAAGGAAGGTGTGATCCTCAACAATTGAGCCAGAAGACCCAAGTCTGCATTGAGATAGCTGTGTCTCCTTAATGTGAAAACAATGAGGGTAGTGAGATAAGCAACCTGTGCTTTGTGCTGCTAGAAGAGACAGCTGAGCTCCTATCTGCTTCAGGAGCACAGCAGATTTTGGGGAGGGGGTACTGTATATTCAGGTGGCAATCAAGAGACAGACTCTTTGCTAGTCTCTTGGTGCCTCTGAGCCTAGTGATTTCTGGAGAGCAATGGTCAAAATCCTGTCTGTTGTCATCAGCAGGACTGAGGAAGCTCTGGCAATGTGGGAGGTGAGGGAGCTGGCTTGAAGGATAGAACAGTGGTAGAAAACAACTTCCCAGAGGTGACAAGTTCCTCCTTCTACTAGGGGGCGCCCCAGATGGATGTAGGAATCCAAAGGACAGTTCCTCTGTTCTGGGGTGTGTGTGTGGGAGGCAGGGGTTCAAGGTCCCCTGAAGCCTTGTTAACATGCTAACCACCTTGTCCCAACTTCCAGGTTTCTGATCTAGTAGGTCTGGAGAGGCTGAGAACTCACATATTTTCTTTCCTTCCTCCTTCCATCTTTTTTATTTTTTTGAGACAGATTATTACTATATAGCCCAGGTGTACCCCAAACTCATTACACAGCCAAGGCTGGCCTCCAACTCACGATCCTTCTGCCTCCACCTCTCTAGTGCTGGAACCACAGGCCTGCAGTGCTGCACCCAGGGAGAAGTGCACTTCTAATCCTGTCACAGGGGCCTTGATGGTACTGCTGCTGGTGTGGGGACTGCACCACTGGACAGTCAGACATCTGACCTCCAGGAGGGGAAGATGGGGCTGTGCCCTCCCTCCCCTGAGGACACAGGCACTCACTCATCCGTGTCTTTTTTGCTCTCTTCAATGAAGGCAATGGACTCAGATCTAAGGCGATTGGTCACTTCGTAGGTTCGCAGGGTGACTCCGAAAATGTCCTCATGGTACCGGTTGTCATCCTGGGGGGAAGCAACAGCCAGGGGATGGAGCTCAGATGACAGCCAAGGGCTTGGAATGCACCCAAAGAAAATAGGCTGGGAAGAAATGAGACTAGGCCCGTTCCTTGAATAAGCACTACGTATCTAATGCAGTGTTATTGGGGGGAGGGGTGTTGGGGGCCGAGATTAGCTTTGGAGGTCAGTGGCAGTCTGAGACTCTCTCTCTCTCTCTCCCTCCCTCTCCCTCTCTCTCTCTGTCTCTCTCTCTCTGTCTTTCTGTCTCTCTCTGTCTCTCTGTCTCTCTCTGTCTCTCTCTGTCTCTCTCTGTCTCTCTCTCTCTCTCTCTCTCTCTCTCTCTCTGTGTATTTGTTTTTTCTCCTCCTCAGGGCAGTTGCTCCCATGGTTAGGATCTGGGTGGCTGGGCTGCCATAGTGAACAGCCAGCTAAGGGCCTTCCCTCCGGTGCACGGCATGAGAAGGTAAGCATGGGTGACCCAGATTCCACTCATCTCTCTTGGACCCATCTTTTGCTGGTAGCAGGGTCAAACTTGGGACCTGAAGCTTCCTAGTCAGGTGCCCTAGCATCTGAGTTATGCCCCAGCCCTTTTGCTTTACTTATTATTATTATTTTTTGAATAGGGTCTCACATTAATTCCAGGTTGGGCTTGGACAGCTTTCCTCCTATTTATACATCCTATACACATGGGATGACAAGCACCGGCCACCATACTCAGCTTTATCAGTAAGATAGGGTCTCATTAACTTTGTGCCTAAGCTGGCCTGGAACCATGATCCTCCTGATCTCTGCCTCCTGAGTAGCTGGGATGACAGGTCTGAGCTACTGCTCCAGGCCTGGACAGATCTCTTTGTGCAGTATCCAGCCTACACAACTGTTGAGGGCAGTGCTGCAGCTGGATTCTAAAGGGTAGGAAAAGATGGGTTCGTATCATTTCTGACGTGTTAATGTCCATCCACTGCAGCCTACAACCATATTCACGACGTGCACCTGCAGATCCAGGCATCCTGTCTTCTCTCGTACCACTGGGTTGGGGAGCTGGCTTGTGTCTCGAATCCCCAGCCATAGGGCAGAAAGAGGAGTCTGGGTATTATCATGGCTCCCTTAACTGGTCACACAGGTGGGTGAGGAAGAGGAGACAGGACGCTGGTGGGTCACTCACCCTCAGCCGGCTGATAAACACGCCAGCATCCTCCTCCGAGAGCTTCCCCTGCTGGGCCATGATGCGCTGGATGGCTTTGAGGACGTCGGCGGCCATGGTGACGTCCCCACAGACATAAATGTGGCCCCCTTGCTCCTTCAGGGCTCGGTACACGGGTTCTGCCAGGTGTTCCTGCAGTACGTCCTGCACGTACTTCTGCGGGGGCAGAGGACAGGTAAGAAGGGGTAAGGGCCAGGCCCCTGTGGCTCACGCCTGTAATTCTAGTCACTCAGGAGGCTGAGATCGGAGGATTATGGTTCAAAGCCAGCCCGGGCAGGAAAGTCCGTGAGACTCTTATCTCCAAAGAAGCACGAGAAAATTGGAAGTGGTAGAGTGCTAGCCTTGAGCTGAAAAGCTCAGGGACAGCACCCAGGTCCAGAGTTCAAGACCCATGACTGACAGAAAAGGGGGGGGCTAGGCCACGCCCCTCTCCCCCCCGACCCCAAGCAGGCACTGTGCAGCTCAGGGGGAAGGTTACATAGCCTGACTCCAGGAAAGAGCAGTGAGGGACTGTCTCCACCTCCTGAGTAGGAGGGATTATAGGGGTGCACCACCACACGTGGCATCAGATGGCTTGTCCTAAAAATGGTTCCCGGGGGGCCATCCTGTCACAGGATGCCAGCTGCTGACAGCTAGCCACTCTCCAGTGCCCTTGACCGCCCTCGTCCTCAAGGTCCTGGCCCCTTTTCTGGGATCCCTGGGCCTCCCCAGGATCCAACAGAAACACACTCAGTCCTGTGGCTCGCATCCATTCTCACAGGTGGCTGCCCCTTACATGCTGCTACATTTTAAAAGAAGTCTCTATTGTTAACTTTGTAGGTGTGGTGGTGGTGGTATTGGGGATCAAACCCAGGGCCTCCCAGGCCTAGGCAAGTACCTCCTGCTATGAAGAGAGCTGTGCACCATTATACCCAGCATAAACTTTTTGTGTGTGTCCCGACTGGGGCTTGAACTCAGGGGCCTAGACACTGTCCCAGATTTTAGCCTCTTGAGTAGCTAGGATTGTAGGTATGAGCCAGTAGTACCCGGCTTAAACTCTGTGTGTGTGTGTGTGTGTGTGTGTGTGTGTGTATGTGTGTGTGTGTGTGTGTGCTAGTACTAGGGCTTGAACTCAGAGCCTGGGCATTGTCCCTGAGCTTTTTCACTTGAGCCACAATTCCATTTCTGGCTTTTTTCTTTTTTTGGAGGGGGAAGGAATAGTTAATTGAAGATAAGAGTCTCACAGACTTTTCTGCCTGGGCTGGCTTTGAACAGAGATCCTCAGATCTCAGCCTCCTGAGTAGGTAGGATTATAGGCGTGAGTCACTGATGCCTGGTTTAAACATTTTTTAAAATCATAGTAAAATACATCTAAGATACAATTTCCCCATTTTTTTACGGTGTTAACCAGCTCATTCAGTGCCACTAAAGATATCCATAATGTTGTGCAACCATCACTATGATCCAGGATTCTGGAACTTTCCTGTCCCTGCTAGTGAAACCCTGTGGCCACTAGGTCGCCCCTCCATGTCCACCTTCCTCCAGCCCCTGAACAAACACTGGCGGGCCTGGATCCGTCTCTTCTGGAATCCTGTAATGTGGCTGTATTTCCAACAGGTGTCGCTGTCTCTGGGCCCTCCAGGCTGTAGCATGGCTCTGGGGGGAGGTGTGCGCGCGTGCGCAGGTGGCGGGCATACCTTTGGTTTGTCGGGCTCCCGGGAGTAGGCGGTGTAGAGCTCTCTGAAGACCCCCTTGCTCTTGGCTTGCAGCGTCTCCTCCCTGTAGATGTGGTCAATCTGGGACTGGCGACACCCGAAGACCAGGACCATGGGGCAGGGACTCAGTCCTGGGGATGGGGAGACCCCGGTCACCAGTGGCTCTGGTAGCCGAGTGCTGGTGGTGGTGGTATTGGAGATGCAGAGTTGGGGATCGGGACCTCAGGGCATGGTATGCAGACGCACGCTCACAGACACGGGGCAGGGCGGTGTGTGTGCCCTGCCCATGTGAGCACACATATGCACACATGTGCTGACACACTGAAAGAGAGAGGCAAGTGAGTCCGGGCTTTTGGCCAACCTCTCTTTCCTGGGTGTCAGTGTTTTCCTCCCCCCTCAGACTACTTGGCAGCCCCCACCATTGGGCCAGGCTGAGAGCGCAGACTGTGAACCACACTGCCAGGGTTCGGATCCCAGCTGTGCACAGTGATGAAATCTTACTTCAATTTGTGAGCCTAAGGTCCCCTCAGGTGCAGAACGGAAACAGACATTTCTCTCAGTGTTCACAGGCATTGGTTTCTAGGACCCCTTCTTGGATGGGTAACAAAATCTGTGGATGCTCAAGTGTGTGCGTGTGTGTGTGTGAGAGAGAGAGAGAGAGAGGCAGACAGACAGAGACAGAAACAGAGTACTAGGGCTTGAACTCAGAGCCTGGGTGTTGTTCCTGAGCTTTTTCCACTCAAAGCTAGCACTCTTCCACTTCTGGCTTTTTGGGGTTCATTGGACATAAGAACCTGCTTTCCTGCCAGGACTTCCCTGCCTGGACTGACTTCAAATCCTGATCCTCAGATCTCAGCCTCCTGAGTAGCTAGGATTGCAGTCATGAGCCACTGGTGCCCAGCTGGCTCTGAATATTTTTGACCTTCATTTGAGTGACTGACTGATGGAGACTGGATGTCGGCCAAGGTGCTGGCGTCTCCCTGGGAGGCCCCTGGAGAGGATGCACCCGGCGAGCACGTTCCCCGGGCCGCCATTTTTCTCCCAGTTATTCTGTTGGTCATCTCCCTACCTCAGCACCTAGCACAATGTCACCCACTTAGAAGCTGCCTAGTAAATACTGTGTGGCAAAAGCCGCTGTGGCGGGTTCTTGTTCTCCTCCCAAAGCTGAATTGCGGGGCCTCTCATGGTAAGTCACTGCCACCTAGCCAGCACAACTACAAAGTAAGGACTAATGCAGACCCCTTCAGATCCCAATCACAGAGCTATTGGCTCTCTTGTTGACAGTCATAGGGGTTTTTGGTGTCCAGGACAGGCTGTATGGAAGGTGTGTTCTTCACTGGGAGGCCTAGGACTGAGGTTGTGCCCCCACTTTTTGGGGGGAGCCCCCTGGCTGCTGGCTCTACCCACCTTTGTGTTGGATGTCGAACTGTCGTTGCTGCCAGAAGCTTCGGAAGGGGGCGATGCCGGTGCCCGGGCCCACCAGGATGCACGGGACCTGAGGATTCCGGGGCAGGTGGAAGCTGGGGGCGCTGGACAAGGAAGAGTGAGTCAAAGCCTTGCTGAGCTCGGCTCTGATGCCCCCAGTGGTGGAGTCTGAAGTGGCCACGTGGCCATCTTGGGGAGAGCCAATGAGACAGCCCTTGGGGGGGGGGGGGGCGCATGTCCCTGTCTGGTGCGGGAGCGCTGGGGTTTGAACTTAGGGCTTCATGCTTGCTAGTTAGATGCTCTAGGGGCCCAGCTCTAGCCCCTTTATGTTTCAGATAGGGTTTCGCTTTTGGCCAGGTTGGTTCAGACTGTGATCCGCCTGAGTGGCTGGTGCACAGCTATGCATCACTATGTACAGCTTCCTGGTTGAGATGAAGTCTTGCCAATTTTTTTTTTTTGGGGGGGTAGGGCTGGGCTGACCTTAAACCTCTTTTGACTTCATTTCCACCTTCTGGGTAGCCGGGATTTCAGGGGTGAGCTTCCTCCTCAGCCCTAACACGGAGCACATGACATATTTTCCCTGAAATCTTCCTTGCCTTGACCTGACTTTGCCTACAGGACTTGCTTCGTGGGCTCTGTTGCTCTGTGCCCTGGTTCCGTTTCCTTAGCAACCCGGAGTGATGCAGGACACTGGAATCCATCCTACGGTCAGCACTGTCAAACCCTCAGGCTGGGCCACCCACTCCAACCCTGACCACACATAGAGATCTCTGTCTCTCTGTTTTCCTTTCGCTGTCTGTCTGTCTGTCTGTCTCATACTCACCCTCTCACAAAGCAAGGGACCACTTCATCTGCAGGGATCCGGTTGAGCCAGGAAGAGCACACGCCGTGGTGAATTGGTCCTTCTCCATCTAATGTAAGAGGCAGGCGGTCAGGCTCCCCCCACGGCCCCATCCTGTCTGTCCCCACCCCTCCAGGGTGGGACACATGCTCAGAGGCCACCGCAGGGACCTCTCAGCCTGGACCCCTTTTCTGAAGGAGAAGAGAAAACTGGAGTAGGCTGTGGCCGGGCACCCCTGGGTGCTGTGGGGGTACAGATGGGTTGCATTCCGTGCCTGTCCACTCCAGGGTCTCCTCAAGGGGCTCTGGGTAACTTGTCAGAGTCCTCTGTAGCCCCCATGAGGCTCTGCCCATCTCCATTGCTTGCTTAAGGGCAGGAGGGGAGCAGAGCCGGGACTCCTGAGGTGTGACACAGCAGACAGCCCCGCGCCCCCAGGGGACAGCGGAGGTGGCTTGTCCTCTGTGCTTCCTTGGGGCCCAAAGGGGAGGAATGAGTCAAAGGGGAAGAGCTGAGGTTCCCCAGTACGTATCTGGCCTCTTTCCTAATTCCGCCCTGGGCACAGTCTGCCTGTTTACAGGCTTTCCTTCCTTTTGGGGTCACGGGTGGGGCTGCCTCATGGAAGACCCAAAACGCCGGTGCCCACCTCGGGTGTGGTAGTTGACGATGGCCACGGTGAGGTGCACCTCGTCAGGGTACATGTCGGGGGAGGAGCTGATGGAGTAGTAGCGTGGCTGCAGCAGGGACAGCTGCGTGAGCAGCAGCGTGGCCGGCATCTGTACCGACGGGAACTCCTCCAGCACCTCCACCATCGTGGGGTTCTTCCCCCACTTCCACTCCTCGTACTCCTGCAGCCCCTGCAAGAGAGGACACAGGACAGCTTGTGTGTGTGTGTGGGGGGGGGGTGTGGGGGCTCTCTACAGTTCCAGAGACAGGGGATGGGCTTGAAGCGCTCCAGACATCACAGGGGCTGGGCATTGGCCGTTCATGCCTGTAATCCGAGGCAGAGATCTGGAGGATAGAGGTTCAAAGCCAGTCCAGGGAGAAAAGTCTGCCAGATTCCATCTTTAAAAATAATCAGCAAAAGCCCGACTGGAGGTATGACTCAAGTGGTATGGTGCTCGTTGAACAAGTCTGAGGCCCTCAGTTCAAACTCCAGTACTGACAAAATAACAACAGCAACGAACAGACCAAAGGGGCCATGAACCTGAGGTATTTGTTAGGTGGAATTTGATGGAACAATCTGCTGACTCCCCTGCCCCTGAGTCAGTCTGGCCTAAGGGTCACACTATCTTTTTGAAGGCCAGGATCACCGACTCCAGGAATGTGTGTGTGTGTGTGTGTGTGTGTGCGTGTGTGTCAGGGGTGGGGGGAAACCAAACACAAAATGTCGACCTGTGACTGGCTGGGTACCAAGGCTGGGCTGCCCAATCCAAGGGCATGGCCAGGTTCAAGATGGCACCTGACAGCATGGGACAAGCAGGTTGGAGTGCACAGAGGACCACGTTAAGGGACGTGTTGACAGCAAAGCCCAGCTCAGGAGCCAGCAGATCTGCAGCTGCTTTTCCTACATCTCAGAAGCCACCCTGCACGGCCCTTCCGCGCTGTCACAGGAGGCCCACAGCCAATCAGCACAAAGGCAATCACACATACATTCACTAACAAAAGGCACTCTGGCCTGGTGAGGTGACTCATGTCTGGAATCCTAGCTACACAGGAGGCTGAGATCTGACGAGGTTTGAAGCCAGCCCAGGCAGGGAAGTCAGTGAAACTCTTATCTCCAATTAGCCACCCCAAATCCAGAAGCGGAGCTGTGGCTCAAGTGGTAGAGGCCCGGCTTTGAGTAGAAAAAGCTAAGGGACAGTGCCCAAGCCCAAAGTTCAAGCCTCAGTACTGATGTGCGCACATACACACACACACACACACACACACACACACACAAACTTTAAGTAATACTGTGCAAAATGGTGCAATCTACCGTTCTTCTTTAAATTACCCTTCCTCCATTAATTATGCTTTTTGGAAATCAGTTACACATGTGCATTGTTGAAAAGTTAAGTAACTCTGCCAAACTCATGATTAAAAGTAATAGTCTCTCGTTCAGCCATGACCATCTGTTTCCAGCTCCCAGAGGTAAACCACTTACAACTCTTTAGCTGCCGTCTGGTGTTTATTTTCTTATTTCTAAAGAATAGGCATTTGCTAATTACCTTCTTCCTGCTGTCAATCATCCACTCTCCTTTCCCTGAGAGCAGAAGAAGCATCTTTTCCTGGGGGCCCGCTAACCGAGAAGGAGACCCCACTAGAAAGAGCCAGGTTGGTGGTCCTGGGTGGGTAGAAGTTTGAAGGGACAGGTATAGGGGAAAGGGTTATCTCAGTTTTTCTTCCAAGCCTGGGCTACGATGGAATCACATGGAAGTTCAAGGTCACAAAGGGTAGGGAAAAAGGATAACAATTTCTATGGTGGTCAGGGAGTTTTGAGTTCCAAGGTTGAGGGCCTGGGAGAGAATCACATTCATTCTGTCAGGCTTTAAGAACTATGGACCGTGGTTAGGGCTGGCCATGGAGCAACCAACATGGCGGCCGCACACAGCTAAAGATCATGGCACCCACTGCTCGCCAGCGCCACCTGCTGGGGAAGCGCAGGAAGAGCCGTTTCTAAGTTCACTCAACCTTAAAAAGTGAAAAGCATTTGCGTCCTTAAAGAGTGAAAAGCATTTGCGTAGTTTGTGGGAAGCCCGGGGACCCACCTTGCTGAGGACCAGCAGGCGCTGCTTCTCTTTCTCGCTGGTGGCCAGGGAGGCAAACTGCTGTAGCTGCAGGGGTGTGGGTGGCGTGGTGATGTCCAGGTAGTACTTGAAGGCCTGGAAGACGGTGCAGGGCGGGAGACGAGGCTCATCCTTCCAGTTACTGATGATGCCTGGGAAAGCACAGGGCAGGGATGAGGATGGGGCGGGGGTGGAGATGGGGGTGGCTCGGGACCATGTCTGGGGTCCAGGCTTGCCCCAAACTCAGGACCATCCTCAGGACAATCGTAGGAAACAGGAACAGGTAAGTTAGGGTGTTTGTTCAAAATCGCACAGCTCTTCCATGTGAAACCAGGCAGGCTGGCATCTGATCTTGCTCTAACTAGCTTATCCCACACGGTCCGCCTCTAGAGGTATGCCTTCTGTGTTCTGTGGATAGAACAGAGGACTGGAGAGAGCAACTGTATCTGTACGGGGCATGGCTTGTTCCTGTCATGAATCCTCCACTCATGCAGGATAACAACATTTCCATGACATTCACACTGTGCAGAGCACTGCAAAGCACCGACATGACCTAAAACAGACAAGGGGCATGCGGGTTTTACCCAACTACTATGCCATCTCCTACAAAGGACTCAGACACCTGTGGATTTGGAGATGAAGACTCTAGTTCTGTGTCCTTTCTATCCACTATGGGCTCCCCCACCACCCCCCAAGCCTCCACCTTCTCAGGAGTGCAAGCCAAATGGAAGAATGTTGTCCTGGCACGGGAATTGGCTGGCTAGATGCATGAAGGAAGGTCTTTCTCCCAAGCGATGCTGTTCTCAGGGATTTTCAGGAAGGCTTTGACTAGAAGACTTTTCACATCCCCTCTGAATGCCTTTGTAAAGGTGACCGCCACTGTGTCACGCACTGCCACCAGAGGCCACCGCAGCTCCTTGTACGGGAGCCTGGAGCCCACCTGACCTTACTGAGGTGCAGATCAGACACAGACCCATTTATCTTGGCAAGTTCTTTAAGGCAGGCATGGTGGTGCACGCCTGTAATGTCAGCCTTTGGGCGTTTGTGGTCAGCTTGGGCTACATAGCAAGATCCTATCTCAGATGAAGAAAAGAAAGAGAGATGCCGAGGAGAGTCCCTTACACAAGCTGGAACTTCATTTAATGAGTTAGAAAATGTGGATTCTTGACAGCCCTGGTGGCTCACACCTGTAATCCTAGCTCCTCAGGAAACTGAATGTGAGGATTGGGGTTCAAAGCCAGCCCAGTCAGGAAAAGTCCATGAGACTCTTATCACCCATGGACCACTAAGACGTTGGAAGTGGAGCTGTGGCTTGAGGGGTAGAACACCAGCTTTGAGTGGGGGAAAAAGCTACAGAATCTTCAGAGGGGGTGATGGTCACGAAGGGATGGAGAGCCTCCCGGGAATGTGGGGCTGATCACAGAAGACACAAAACTCCTTTGCTAACAAGCCACCTGCGTCCTGACATCGTGGCGGCTGGTTGGCAGCTGGGCCAAAGCTGGTCAGCCCCAAGACCCAGACTCCCTCCTCCTTCCTGGTCAGACCTGTTCCTGGGACCTGTTCCTCCTCTCTGTCTCTCCCCCCCTCCCCCGGAGAGCAGGCCCTCTGGGGGGCATTACCCAAGGCTGTGTTCCGCTCCTCCAGCAGCTCTACTTTCACCGTCTGGTTGGCCGGGGGCGCGTCCTCCAGCCGCTCGATGAGCGCATTCACCAGGTCCTCGTGGTTGCCAGGGAAGACGCCCAGGTGGTCCCCAGGCTGGTACTGCAGCTCCTGGTTCCCGTTGGTGTGGAGACGCACGAAGATGGTCGATCGGCTGTAGGGGAGGACCAGCAGAACACGTGGACACCGGCTTCTACCTGTTGCTTGGCTTTGCACCCATCCCTGCGGTCCCTGCAACCCTCCTTCCATCCTCAGTGGGCGGTGCCTCCATGGAGCACAGCCAATCACTCTTCACCTCGTGTCAGCCACTCGCTCCTCATTGGCTGGTTTCCCAGGGCTCCAGGGACCACGGAGGCGGCCTTGGGTGTAACTCTTTGCTTCTTTCTCACCTTTCTTGCATCCTAGGTACCCAAACTCTCCCCTTCTTCTCTGTGGCTGCTCCAGCTCACTCTCCTTTGTCCGTCCTTCCCATCTCCCCACACGCTGAGCACTGGAGCACCAGGGGCTTGCTCGTCAGCCTTATCTGTTCCATGGTCTTTGTGTCTTTGCTTTCCTTTTCTCTCTTATATTCTAATCCTTGAGCCTTACAGTATCATTCGCCTCCTTTTGATGGCGGGTATCTGATCCCCTGCTAGGACCACAGAACTCTACCTGTCCAACTTGGCCACTGCTCTATTCCCAATGCCTGGCAGTATATGGCACACAATAGGTCTTCAATAAGTTGTGTGTGTGTGTGTGTGTGTGTGTGTGTGTGTGTGTGTGTGTACTGGGGCTTGAACTGAGGGCCTGGGCGCTGTCCTGTAGCTCTTTTTGCTCAAGGGTAGACCTCCATCACTTAAGCCACACCTCTGCTGCAAGCTTTTGGGGTGCTTAATTGGAGATAAGAGTCTCATGGACTTTTCTGCCCAGGCTAGCTTTGAACCATGAGTCTCAGCCTCCTAAGCAGCGAGGATTACAGGTATGAGCACCTGGCTTCAACAACTATTTGTTGGATGAAGGAACACCAGAGTCCCAGGTTAACCCATTGCTGCACTGGCTCCATCCTGAGTTTTGATTGGATTTCCCACAGACCAGCATCCACGGGGGCTGCAGGTAGCACTGTTCCCAAGCTGGGAAAGTCCACGTGCACAATTCCAGGCTTCAGTCCCTTTTACACATAGAGTTCCCAATACTGAAAGGGACAAGGCCTTGGCCTCACTGGTATAATAAAATGGAGATCTGAACAAGAAACCTAGAGAGCTGCTTGTTAATGTCTGCAGTTGGGGTCGTGTATTGATTTTTTGGGGGTGCTGGTCCTGGGCTTTGAATTCAGTGTCGAGCCTAATGCTTTACCACTTTACCACTTTCAGCTTTTTGGAGGTAAAAGTCTCACAGACTTTCTTGTCCAGTCTGGCTTCAAACTATAATCCTCAGATTTCAGCCTTCTAATAGCTAGGATGGATGACAGGTGTGAGCCACTGGTGCCTCAGGCTTATGCATAATAATAATAATTATTATTACTTTGTGTTTCAAGTTCAGGAAGCCTGAGTTAAAGTGATTTTTAACAATGAATTTTCTCTGATATACTATATTTTACCCAAGACCTTCAAATGGCAGGGTGGACAACATTTTGGTAAATCAAAACTCACCAGGTTCTGGTGGCTCATGTCTGTAATCCTAGCTACTCAGGAGGCTGAGATCTGAGGGTCAGAGTTCAAAGCCAGCCTGGGCAGGAGAGTCCATGAGACTCATATCCACCAGAAAACCAGAAGTGGAGCTGTGGCTCAAAGGGATAGAGCGCTAGTCTTGAGCGAAAGAGTACAGGGGCAGCACCCCAGACTCTGAGTTCAAGCCCGATAGCCAACAACCCTCCAACTCCCAAACAACTTTGCACGTGGAGCTGCGTTTGCTTTTCAGAACGGCGCTCTCCGCTGCCAACTGGTTCTTGTGGATGGAGATACTTGATATTCAACATGAAGTTTCTACATTGTCTGCGGTATGTAAATCACACTGGAATAGACCAATGGGTCTCGCTATTTACGAAGTTTCTGGCACAACCAAGAACCCTTTGTGCTACAAATAGCCACCACTAGTAAAAATAGTTCAGCTGGCACATCTTTTTGTATAGGGGAAGTGGGAAGTATTTTTCTTGAAGCAAAGCACCTCTTGCCTTAGTAGGAGCGGGGACTCGGAAGGTCATAATTGTGAATACATTGTCAGGGTCTGGGGTTCCTGGCTCCTTTCTCGGGCAGGTCTCACCCTTTCTGGAGCACTAAGCTTGCCAGTCACCGGGACCTGTGTAATAGATTTACACCAGTCTTTAGTAGCAGAGACATCCTTATCTCCTGCTGGTGAGGCATTAGCCAGCAGGGGGCGCTGCAGGGCTTCTTATTTGGGAGATCATCCAGATGAAGCCTTCGAAAGGTCCACAGAATCTTTTTCTCCTGCTTTCTTCCCAGACAAGAATGCAGGAGACCTGAACTTGCTCAGCAGGCTCACTTGCTCAGTCTCCCTGCTCCCTTCAGGTTCTTTTGAACCTGGCAGAAGAGGGTCAGGCAGATAAGGGGAAGAGGGATGGGAATGTGGCCGTCCTTTTTCTTGGAGCTGGGGGGGGGGGTGTCCAGCTCTGTCCATGTGTGTGTGGGGGTAGTCCCTGGGTGTCTGGGTGGGCAGGTCCTCAAGGCATGTTAGTGCTGAGGCCTGGCCAGTCAACTTGTCAAATCTCAATGCAAGCCGGGTACCCGTGGCTCACGCCTGTCATCCTAGCTATTCAGGAGGCTGAGATCTGAGGGTCATGATTCAAAGCCAGCCCAGGCAGGAAAGTCCATGAGACTTTTATCTCCGATTAACTACAAAACAAAGCTAGAGGTGGAGCTGCAGCTCAAGTGGTAGACTGCTAGCTTGAGTGAAAAAGCTCAGGGATAGCACCTAGGACCTGAGTTCAAGCCCCAGTGTCAGCATACATATTCTGTCTCTCTCTGTCTGTCTCTCTTTCTTTGTCTCTGTCTTTCTCTCTAACTTGGGCCTTCCTCCTGGCACCTGTCTGGCGATGGAGGCTCTGGGGTCGGGGAGGGGGGCTTTCTGGAGTCTTGGTTAAGGTTTCCTGGGCCAAGAGCCCTAGTCTGGCTTTGGGCAGAAAAAATAGGGAAGCATGCTTTTTTTTCCTCACTCAATTATCTTTTTTCCTTTTTAATAATCTGTATAAAGCCAGAGATGGCATGAAGCCTGAAAACTGGTGGACCCGCAGGACATGCTTTTAAGGAGATGAACACTTTGGGTACATTTTGGTCCTTTCTGGGCAAATTCACAACCAGTTTAATCCCGTGTCCCTGTTCCTAACCTCGCTCAGAACATCTCTTGTCAGTCATTTGTAGAACATCAGCTAGTCCGATGGAGGAGGGCTGGGCTCAACAGGGCCTTAGAATCTCTGCCAGTTTCCTTGCGTACTAAGCCTGAGGCAAGGCCGATTCCAAGCTGGTCTTCCCTCGTGTAGGCTATGAGAAATTTCTAGCAGATTCTCTGCCTCCTCTCTTGTCCTCTCCTCCTCCTCCTTTCCTTCCTTCCTTCCCTCTCTTCTTCCCTCCTTTTCTCTCCCTTCTTCCCTCTACCTCTCTCCCTCCCTCCCCCGTCTTTCCCTTTTCTCCCTCTTCTTTCTTTTTGCAGGCCTGAGGTTTGAATGCAGGTTTTTATACTTGTTAAGCAAATGTTCAACCACTTGAATCATCCCTCTAGCCCTTTTGCTTTAGATACTTACAGGTAGGGTCTTGCTTTTTTTTTTTTTAAATTTTAACCTTGGCCTGTGATTAACATTCTTCTTTTAGTTGTTGGTTGTGGGGCTTGAACTCTGGGCCTGGCCACTGCTGCCGAGCTCTTCAGCTCAAGGCGAGCACTCTACCACTTGAGCCACTGATTTTCCAGTGGTTAACTGGAGATAAGAGTCTCACGGACTTTCCTGCCTGGGCTGGCTTTGAACCTCGATCCTCAGATCTCAGCCTCCTGAGTAGTTAGGATTACAGATATGAGCCACCGGTGCTCCAGCAAGATGAACATTCTTATACCTACACCTCCCAAGTAGCTAGGATGACAAGCACGTACCACCATGCCTGGCCTGTTTGGTTCAGATGAAGTCTTGCTAACTACCCCTCCTCCCTTGCATCCATTCCCTGCTGGGCTTAGGACTGTGATCCTCCTGATCTCCACCTCCAGAGTAGCTGGGATTACAATCATATACCACCATGCCTGCAGCCCTTCTCTTCTAAGCCACGCTTCCCATGGTTTGGAAATGGAGTCGGAGACCTGTTACAAATGGTCTTTCTTCCTCTCTGTCAGAGGTCGTTGTGCTCTGAATACTGCATTGAACTCATGACTCAGAGATGAAGTGGAGGACCTATGTCTTAACTGGGGAGGCCGGAGAGCCTGCAAGAACCCTGGGGCGCTAGCCTGCTCATTGCTTTTCTCAAAGGTTTTAGAAGACCACACAAAAAGCACTAGAAACCGCTGGTGGCAGGAAGCTGGGCCAGCTAAGGAGCAGCCCGGAGAGCCTGTGACAGGCTGGCCACCGCAGGCCCCTCAGGCTTTGAATGGCCACAGCAGCCATCTTCACCTGGCTCGCTAACATTGGAGTCCCGTAACAAGGTCAGTGTGACCTTGCTAAAGTCCCAGGCACTTTCTAACAACCGTCATTTCTCCTATTTATTTGCAACATGGCGATGATGATCTTCACATCCTGGGCTGCACAGAGAGCCGGGTGTGAGTCTCGCCACACGTGCGAGGAAAACATCATCAGTCTGAAGACACCATTCCTAGCTGATGTGGAGGGAAACCGGGACTCAGGGCACCCGAGAGGCTTATCTTAGCACCCTGCGCTGCTCATTTTGTGGAGAGAGAGAGGGTGGCTGGGGGCAGAGGGGGCAAGGGTTTGACAGGAGAGCGGGCCCGTGGTCCTGGGTGGCATTAGGGCTATAATGGCAGTAACAGCCCAGCAGGCTGGGGGCACTGATCACAGGATCTGCATGGTTTGGGGACCAGGCTCGAGGGACAGTTCCCCCAAAGGGCCCCGTCCTGGCATAAAGCCCAAAGCTTGGGGAAGCAGGTGTTAGGGATAACGAGTTTGGAGGCTCAGGGGCCCAGGGCAGCTTGGTCAGCACCTGGGTTATTTACAGGGCTCTCATTTGGGGAGAAATGAATATATTTTGAACATCACTGGGAAGGATCGTTGGGTATAAAATAAAGTACTGCTGGGTGTTGGTGGCTCACACCTGTAATCCTAGCTACTCAGGATGCTGAGATCTGAGGATCGTGGTTCAAAGCCAGCCCAGGAAGGAAAGTCCATGAGACTCTTATCTCCAATTAACCACCAGAAAATCAGAACTGGCTCTGTGACTCAAGTGGTAGAGCACTAGCCTTCAGCTGAAGAGCTGAGGGACAGCGCCCAGGCCCAGAGTTCAAGCCTCACAACCAACAAGAACAACAAAAAGTACTAAAGTGGGTGCTGGTGGCTCATGCTTGTTTGTAATCCTAGCTACAAAGGAGGCTGAGATTTGAGGATCATGGTTCAAAGCCAGCTCAGGCAGCAAAGTTGTGAGAGTTTATCTACAATTAATCACCAGAAAACCGATAGTGGTGCTGTGGCTTAAAGTGGTAGAGGGCTAGCCTTGAGTACAAAAGCTCAGGGACAGTACCCAGGCCCTGAATTCAAGCCCCATGACCACCACCAACAATAACAACCAAAAGGAAATAAAGTACTAACATATGCTTTACATTAGATCTTAAGAAATGTAGTAGCTATATTATATACATATCAGATATTTACCTATGTCAAAGATTAGGATAATTTCTGACTATCAGGAATTTAAAACAGACACTGGTTTGGGGAGAGAATGAATCTTTGGACGTCTCAAAGGATTTTTCTTGTTCTTTTTTGTTAGCCTTGGGGTTTGAACTCAGGACCTCACAACTTGCTGGGTAGGCACTCTACCACCTGAGCCACACCTCCAGTCCTTTGTCCCTTTTCTCCACACCTCCAGGTGGGAGCTTGGGGGAGGGAGGGCAGGAAAGCAGATATGAAGGGGCAGCAGGGGCTCTGAGCCTGGAGCCAGCAGACTTGCTCCGCCATCTGTGTGTAACACACTGTGGACAGCATCAGGAGTGGAGAACTGACTGCTCTAAGGGGGCCCGGGTCTTCCTACCTGGATTTTGGACTCTGGAGGTTTTGACGGCTCAGGAGTCGTGCGGCAGAGACGCGTTTCTTGTGGACGTTGGACAGACCTGCAGGAGGGAGAAGGTCCGGGTTTGCTGAGCCCAGAGAAAATAGCCACCGCGAAACCATCCCAGTTTCTCGCATACTCTGTGGGCTGCCCCCTCTCCTTCTGCTGATTCTGGACCCCAGTGAGAGAAGGGACAGAGGAGAGGAGCTGGGCGGGCCAGGTGGGGCTGGTGAGTTAGCTATGGGCAGTGAAGAACAAAAAGTAAATGTGGCCAGGCACGGGGGGCTCATGCCTGGTATCCCAGTTACTCAGAAGGCTCAGATCTGAGGACCGCAGTTCCAAGCCAGCCCAGGCAGGAAAGTCCAGGAGACTCAGCGCCAATTAACCACCAAAAAGCCAGAAGTGGAGCTGTGGCTCAAGTGGTAGCATACCAGCTTTGAGTGAAAAAAAAAAAAAAACTTAGAGGAAGGGCCCAGGCCCTGAGTTCAAGTCCCACGACCAGCACCAACCCTCTCCCCCTCCAAAGCCTCCCCTCAAAACAAAAAAAAACAAAAAAAAGTGAATGTGTACTGGAAAAAATAGTGCTCAGTCATGGTGTACCATTGCATATGGATCCTTTGCGATATGACAACCAAACTCCATATGTTTCGAAACAAAATCAGACAAAGAAAATGTGAGCGTGGTTGGACCACACTGAGATGAAGATGGTCCTGGAGAGGAATCTTGAGGTGCACCTGGGTCAATCCCTGGCCCCGAGGTATTTGTGTGCGTTTGGGATTGGAGGGGAGAGGGTTGGAGCATCGGAGCCACTGTTCCCAGGTGCCAGCAAGAGGGGAGACGGCCTGACCCACCTTCCCCGTGAGGGCCGAGGGACCAACCTTGTGTGAGTTCCGGCGCTTCGGCCACATAGGTGAGGCGGAACTTGTTCCTCTTCCAGCTCCGGTCATTGCTGATGAGGGAGTTGTTGGCCTTCTCAATGTTCACATCATCCCCCACGCAGAACACGTCACACGCTGCCTGTAGCACACAGAGGACTTTCAGTGACCTATCAACCAAGAACTGTCCTCCCCAAGAGCTCCAAGTCAGGACAGGATTTCTTCTTTGCCCCCTCCCATTCCTCCTTTCCTCCCCCCATCTATATACTTCCACCTACCTGTCCTTCCCTCTCATTTGTCCTCTGCCCATCCATCCACCAGTCTACCTATCTATTCACCCTCCCTCTGTCTGTACCAAGCTACGGGTTGAGAAGGGGTCTCCTGAACTTTTCTGCCTGGGCTGGCCTTGAACCATGATCCTCTCATTCTCAGCCTCTCAGGTAGCAAGAATAACAGGTATAAGCCACTAAGTCCCAGATTTCTTTCTCCTTCATCTTCTCCTCTCCTCCTTCCTTTTTCTTTCAATTAATATATCTTAGTTAAGGAGGTGAGGGGATCTCATTGCTACCTTTCCATACATTTACAATGTATTCGAATCAATCTTACCTCCTGGATTATGCTCCTGTCTATTCTCATAGTTGCAAAGAATCTATTTTGATCATATTAATCTCCTTCACGCTCCTTGTCAGCCCAACTCCTTTCTGCTCCCCACCCCCAGACAGCGCTTGCTTCCCCCAAGGGATTGGCAGCTTCCCTGGAGTTCTTTATACTGTTTTCATACACACTTGCAATGTATTTCCAAATTCTTCCTCCTCCATCTCCCCTCTTTCTTGGTGAACTGCTAGGTGCTAGCTTTTGGGGGTGCGGTGTGGGGTGGGAGGGCACATTCTTCCTCCCTAGGTCTCTGAGATCCACATTACCTTGAAGACTTTCTTGGCCCAGGTCCTGAAAGCCTCTTCCTGCCCACACAGCTCATCTCCCTCCCTCATCTTCAAGATTCTTTCACCTCCCAACTCCTCCAGGAGCGTGTCCACTGCATGGCCGAAGGCGCAGAAGTGAGGGTATGCACGGGAGCCGAGGCCAAACACTGAGAACCTACCAGGGAGACAGCAGAAGGTCCAGTTCAGGGGGCTGCAGGCTGTGTGTGTGTGTGGGGGGCAGGGTTACCAAGTGCATTGGATTGAATTGTGTGCCCTTAAAATCCAAACCTCCCCATGACTGTATTTGGGAAAAATGAAATTATGGAGGGAATTGAGGTTAAGTGGGGCATAAGGGTGGGTCCCCAATCCAACAGGATTAGTGCCCTTATGCGAAGAGTGATGACCTCTCTCTTTCCCTCTCTCTCTCTCTGTATGTTTCTCCTTCTCAGGACACAGGGAGAAGGCAGTTATCTGCTGGCTAGAAAGAGACAACACTGGAACTCTACCCACTGACAACTTGATATCATCTTTCTATGGGATTACTGTGGAGGGCCATCTTGAAACCCGAGGCCTTGAAGCCTCCTCCCCCCTTCCTTTCTGGTCTCTGCGAGGTGTCACCAGCTTCAGGGGGAAAGTTCCAGTTGTTTCTAAGGAGGCTGAGTGGTGTGAGCAATGAGCTGGAACCTCTGGCTCTTTCTGGCCTGTGTCTTTCTAAGCTGAGTGGGGAAAATGGCCTTTCTCAGTGAAAAGCTTCAGTCGTACAAGTGACACCCTTAGATTAGTGTTAAGTTCAAAGGAAATGAACACTGTCACTGTAAAGTGAGGACAAACAGAGTTGTCATGAACACATCACATGTTGACATCCTTTTTTTTTTTTTTTTTGGCAGTATTGGATATTGAACTCAGAACCTTGAGCTTGCTAGGCAGTTGTTCGAACACCTGAGTCATGCCTCCAGTCCACAAACAGAGTTGTCTAAGAGAATAAAAGAACCATAAACATGGCGGCCCCTTCCCTTGCCACAGCTATGAAATTACTGTCTTTCACAGTATCTATTCTTCCGGGCACTGGTGTTTGAGAACACTGGAGTTTGAGCCAGTAGAGGTTAGGTTAATGAGATTTTTCTCCAGTCACTTGAGGTCCCATTTCTAAGACATGGTGTAGCTTAACCCACCCAGGGACCACATATGGCCCAGGAAACCTGCCCTGCTTCTCTCCAAGGTCACAGCATACTCTTGCAGACCCTCAGCCCAAAGAAGCCAAGGAATGGAGCCATGTCACCTGACCCCTACCCCAGGATCTCAGCCTGCCCCTGAATCTCCTTCTGAGCACGCTGGGGTCAGACTGAGATGGGGAACGGGACAGAGGGCAAGAAGAAGCCCTCCATCGTCAGAGGATAAAGTGGAGGTGTTTCCAGGGGTCTCAGCGATGGAATGCTGGTTAGCTCAACTCAGTGTCCTCTCCTCTCAGGTCTGTATTTGTGTTGTCTTGTTTCTCCCTCTTTTCCCTGCCCTACCTCTCTGGGGCTCCTGAGCTTCTAGGACTAGGGAATCAGGTAACATATTTTTTTCCTGTTACTCTGGAGTCCACAATCTTACTAGATCTAGGTCCTTTACCTCTTTCTCATAGTGTAGCAACCTGACAGACGGGGAGACAAGTGACCAGGTGTGGACTTGTTAGAAGGTATCTGCAAAGGGCATGCTTGCCCCAGAAAGTGTGCTGTAGTGGACAAGGGGCTCTAGGTAGCCAGGATGTAGCCAGTTTGATAAAAGATGAAGGGAGAATGCTAGTTCTTGGCAACTAGGTCCAGCCCCTCCAGAGCCATAAGCTTCCCTCAGGTGCCTGGTCCCTTGCTCACCTCACATTGGCCAGAGGGCCTGCGCTCTCAAAGTTGTCTCTGAGGTCAGGCCCATCCCCGGAGGACTTGCGGGAGTCGGCATAGGATGACACACTGTTGAACCGGACTTTGTAGCTCCTGCCCGAAGGAACCAACAGGAGAATCTATGAGCTCTGACCTGGAACGCCAGACCCAGGCCAATACCCACTGCGGATTTTCAAGTTCCTGGTCTTGGTTCTAGTACCTTCTCTTGGATATTGAGTAAACTCATACCACTCATCTGGCCTCTTTAAGAATGTTTCAACTTCCCATGCCACCCACAAAACCAGGCCACTGCACCAGGCTTTCCCAGGAACCTGACAGGAAACTTGAGACCTAGACATTTAAAGTGGTTCCATCAGTAAGAAGGCTGAATCAGACTTGACCATGAGACCACCCTTGACCATGAGATGTTCTCTTGCTTCTCAGATATTAATGTGTGTAAGGTTTGCCCTCCTATCTTGTTAAAAAGAAGGTTTTGGTCTGAGGCAAGACCTGGAAATCAACGCTGGTACTGGGGCTTGAACACATGATTTGGGCACTGTCCTTTAGCTTTTTTTTTTTTTTTTTTGCTCAAAGTTGGTGCTCTACCACTTGAACCACAGCTCCACTTCCAGATTTTTGCTTGGTTAACTGGAGAGTCTTACGGACTTTCCTGCGCAGGATGAAAGATCTCAGTTTCCTGAATAACTAGGATTATAGGCATAAGCCACCAGTGCCTGGCTAGATACTGAATTTTTTTTGTTCTTTGTTTTTCCTTAAATGGTTTGCAAGGGGAAAGGAGATGTCTGGACAGCACTGTCAGCAGGAGATGCTCACGAACACTGAGACTTCAGAAGGCAAAACCATACAATACAAACACACACCAGCAGCCCAGCTTTCTTTGGAAAGTGCTAAGTTTTGTTTCCAGACAAGGCAAAACCAAACCAAAACAACAAAACTCCCAACACCCAGCCAATAAACAAAAAGACTCCCCCCCCAACTCAAGATAAAAACCAACCCACAAATCAGAGAGAGAGAGAGACAGGGAGAGACAGAGAGAGGGAGAGAGGGAGAGACAGAGAGAGGGAGAGAGGGAGAGAGAGGGAGAGAGAGAGGGAGAGAGAGAGAGGGGAAGAGAGAGGGAGGGAGGGAGGGAGGGAGGCAGCAAACAGATTTGCATGCTGGCTGCAGGGTTTCTAGGCTGGTGATTGGTTCTTCAGAGTTTTTGCTCCAGCGTCAGGAAGGTTCTAAATATATGTACGTGTATTTTCTGCCTCAAAAATAGTCTCACGTTGAGTCACTTCTCCAAATAAGTCATCGCCACATAGCGGGGGCGGCTGTGTGGCTGGAGTGGGAGGCATGGCGGATGGGAGCGCGGTAAAAATAACAGCACGTGTATTGGGACTCTGAGACTCGAGGTTTCTCAACAAGATTGTTTTCTTGTCACTGTCCCTTCGTCTTCTGCAAAGGCCCTGGGGGGTGGGCAGATAGATGTCAAAAGAGACGAAGGTGCACCAAGGTCAAGCTCCAGGCCCACAGAGGTCAAGCTCCAGGTTGTAGAGTTAGCGGCACACAGTGTGGGTTAGAGGCCAAGTCTCCCGGAGACCCGGATGTAGCCAAGCATGCTCCGGCCTGCGCATGCACGCATGCGTTCTGGTGCGTGCGCTCAAGTATGCGCACACGTGGGCACGGGCGCGCGCGCGCGCACACACACAGGGCTGGGCACGCGCATGCGCACCACTCTTGCTACCTGTGCTGGCTGTCTCGAGCTGCAGCCAGGCCGTGCACCGCAGAGTTCCCCGAGGGGAGGGAAGGCCCTTTACGGGGAAAGAAACGCAAGGGTTCCGGGTACCTAGAAGGGAGAACGGATGGCGCCCATCTCTCCCTGAAATAGGGGTGAAGGCCGCCCCGGAGGGAGAGCGGTGGGGAGAGTGAGGAGAATCTTCTAGAAGGAGGGCTGGCCACAAGGGCTGAGCGGTGATCATCTTTTCCCGGGGTATCTGATCTAAGTGGCTACAAAGGAAACCAGGTGATTTCCGGCACCAGGCGCCGCCGTGGGCTTCAGTGCGCATGTGCAGGCGCACCCCTTCCTGGATGCCGCTTCCGTGCGCATGTGCAGGACCTGCCCTTCCTGATGCGGCTTCAGCGCGCAGGCGCAGGACCTCCCCTTCCCTGCGGAGGAGGCCCGGATGTTCCCGCCTTCAATGCTCTTGGTTTCTAAGCCACCATGGACGGACAGAGCGGTTCCTCCATCATGGCGTGCTTCCCGGAGTGAGGTTTTATTTCTCTCTGGCGGTTCTGGGCTCTGAGCTCTCCCACCCAGCCATGCCTCCGCCCTCCTCCTGTCTTTGCACGGGTTGTGAGATGTGGGTCTGGCTGGTCACCCCATGCCCGGATCCCACCCTCTTACTTTAGGCTTCTGACCATAGCTGGGATGGCAGGTGGATGCCATTGCGTTCAGTTTGTGTAGTTGAGAAGGGGTCTCCTGAACCCAAACCATGATGCTCAACTCTCAGGCTCCCAAGTAGACAGGATGGCAGGTGTAAGCTACCCTGCCCAGCCAAGAGGTATCTTACTCATCTTTTGACCTTAGTCTCCTCCACAATTGCAACACTCCTCTGAGTATTAGACAGAAAAGTCCTAAGGAGAATCTCCAATAGACTGAGTCCCTGACTCCCACCCAGAACTGAAAGGTGAATCTTAGGTATGAAAAGATGATTGTCTGTGGCCCCCAAGAGGTGTCATGGGACATGAGAGGGGTCATTCACTTACTTCCTTTCCTCCTGCACAGAGTTGGGGTGCCTCATTTCCATCAACGCACAGCCAAATTTCTGGAGATTATAAACAGATGAAGGAAACGCAAAGCATGTGTTACTAAAGCTGGGAGTGTTGGACACAGGGTCTGAGGTTCTAGCTGGTAAAAGAGGAGCCTGCTGCCTGGGAGCTGGATGTCTGTGATGGTCAGGGGCTCAGGCTAGTTGTTTTAAGGGACTACGCCTACAAACACTTAAGGGTCCCAGCTATAGTCCCTTCTCCCTACAGGAACAACACCACCCGGGATTGAACAGGGGGACCCCATCTCACCTCCCCATTCTCAGGGGGGTCCCCATTGCCGAAGGTGCTGGTCACCACCAGGACCAAAGCTTCGTGCTCCAGATGCACGATGTCGTACTCCTCCATGGACATCACCTGGGGGAGTGGGCACAGCATGGGGTGGGAGAGAGGAGGTGTGTGGGGGGGGTGGTGAGGAGGAGACAAGAGGGAGGAAAACAAGGGTCACTGTGGCCTGAGGAGTATGCTCTGATCTAAGAGAGTGGGTGACACACACACACACACACACACACACACACACACTGGATACAAGGTCTTACTAGGTATCCCTGGCTGCCTTTGAACTGAAGATCTTCCTACCTCAGCCTCCTGAGTGCTGGGATTACAAGCATGTACCACAGAGCCCAGCAGGAGAGCAGACCTTGATAGAGGCCCCGAGGCTTTAAAAGACCATGTGATCCTGGAGTCTTCCTAACCCTCTTTAGGCAGGGAGTGATCTGGGTGAGTCTGCCCACCCCTGGCTCAGCCTCATCTCTAATCCTGTGTGCAGTACTATGGTGGAGCATCTGACTCTCTGAAGTCTGAGATACCAGCTGTGGGAAAGATCACTGCTTCTTGTCTTTTGTAGGGCCTTAGAAAGTCCAGGCTCCTGAGATGCTTCATGAAGACAAGTAATCCACAGTCAGAAACGTGTGAGAAATGTTTATCCGTGGCTCCCTTGGGAGATTGTCAATCATGTTCATGGATTAAAGGCTTTGATAAATTCTGAAGCAATGGATCCTCCAAGTTCTATTTCATGCCAAATTTCCCAAACCAATCTCAGCTTTGTTTGTCACAGATGCCCTAATATTGTGTTCTAGAGATGCGATTTCATTTGTCGATTTCTGGGGGGATTGTGACTCACAGTGCCCTGAAATTTGCGCAGATGTGCAGAAGTGGATGGGCATTTCAGGGGGCCTCAGTTTGTAACTGGAGGGCTTTTCTCTGTTGACTTTCCCCTCTCTCTTGCCCCATCTTATTTACTACAAGGGGCTGGGATGGCACTGCCCCTACTCACCTTGGCATCAAAAGCGTGTTTGAAGATCTCACACAAGGTCTTGGCGTAGGCCTGGGACTTTCCAGTCTCGGTGGCATACAGGATGGTCGCTTTCACCCTCTTGGCCATCGCCTGCCCCATGAGCTTGGCTGAGAACTTGACGGCTCTGCAGAGAAAACAGAGAAGAGACAGATGACTCCAGAACCGAGTGCGAGCATATTGATGTTTGATGTACCGCATCTTGGCCCCGAGTTCAGCCACCAGACACCAAACAGGCACTAAATAAATAGCCAACAAGAGACATTATAAGGCAGGGTGATGGCGGCTCACTCAGGAGGCTGTGATCTGAGGATCGTGGTTCGAAGCCAGGCTGGGTAGGAAAGTCCCTGAGACTCATCACCAAAAAAAGCAGGAAGTAGAGCTGTGGCTCTAGCCTTGAGCACACACATACACACACAAAAGCTCAGGGACAGTGCTCAGGCCCTGAGTTCAAGCCCTAGGATTGGCACCAAAAAAAGAAAAAAAAAAAAAAAAGAAAGACATTATGAAGTTGAATCGATGCTTCCACCCATGCTTTTTCTAGGGGGGAGGGGTCAGTGTCAACGGCAGCCTCTCTGTAGTTAGAGGACCCCCATCCCCCCAGCCAGCATCCTTCCTGTTTCTGGTAGGGAGCAGACAGCCCAGAAGAGCCAGGATAACACTACCTGGGCTCCAGTGAGTCCAACTTCCTCACTCAGAAGCTCTCTGCAGACAGAATTGCTAATTATCTCCCACCTGGGGCTTATTGGTGGTAAATTTATTGTTTTTTTGTTTTTTAGAATTGGGGAAAACCACCCACGTTGCAGGAAGGCTGGAGAGGGAGGCAGAGAAAGGAGTAAAAGGTGCCTGGAGGCTTCCCTTGGAAGAATGTGAGCATAAAAACGCATCTATAATTAACTCCCATTGTTCCCAACGCAAATGTAATCGTGCAATTAACGGTTAGATTCCCCTCTCCCTTTTTTCCTGGAGACATGGAACTGAACCAAAGATTGTCCTCACTGAGAATATTTGGGATCCTCTCTCTGGGGAGAGATGCTACTGTGTGTGTGTGTGTGTGTCTGGGGAGAGATGCTCCTGGTGTGTGTGTGTGTGTGTGTGTGTGTGTGTGTGTGTGATGCTCCTGGGCTGTGTGTGTGTGTGTGTATGAGGACCCTGTGTCACTGGGAGATGTGAGGACCAGCGTCTGTCCAGCCTCCTTTGCCAGGACTCCCTGTGTGGGTGCCTCCCCACTCACTCAGCCAGCTTCTTGAAGCCAATGGCGCGCCGCTTCGTGGGGGTCCCGTTGGTGCCTTTCCAGACGTGGGTGTTCCACGGGTCGGGCTGGCGAGAGAAGAGAGGGCTGGTTACGGCCATGAGAGGAGGTGGCCCCTGCTGGGATGCCCGGGAATCCCCGGAGTTGGGCCAGGGGCTCCCCGACCTCCGCAGGCAGGGCTTCAGCACACGTGTCTGAGCACAGTGACTGCTGTAATGTCCCTGCATTGTCCCCAGCCGTGTCCCTCTTCAACAGTCTTCTTATTTCCTTCTGGGGCCATGTGCTTGCAGGTTAGGCATTCGATCACTTGAGCCACGCTCTCAGCCTTTTGGGGCTTCTGTTACTTTGTGAATAGAGTCTCCTCCCCCTCTTTATTTTTTTTGGCCTGACATAGCCTGGCATGCAGCCTCCGATGGAGGCCTCTCTCCTATCTGGGGTGACAGCTAAGTGCCACCGCGTCCAGCTTTTCTCGATTGAGCTGGTGTTTTGCACAACTTTTTGTGTAGGCTGGCTCTGAACCCCTGCCATGCTTCTGATCTCCACCCCCAGCGTAGCTGGGATTACAGGCGTGAGCTACCATGCTTGGCTCCAGACTCTGTTCCTGACCCCTCATGTAGTCTCTCTGTCTTTCAGCAGCATGGGGGCTCTGTACCCCAGGGGCCACGTACCCCACATCGTTCTCAGCACATGCACACCCGAGTGCTGGCCTGACAGCCCAGGCCCAGGTGTGAGAGGCCCAGCAGATGGTGGGGAACGTGCTATGGAGAAAGGTGTGGTGGAGGGAAGCACCTGGTACTCGAAGGATGGGGTGAGCCGGTAGTTGAGCATCTCCTGGTGGAAGACAGGGGTGATGCTGCCGGACATGGGGGGCACAATCCACACCCAGTCGGCCGGGCAGCCGCCCCGGCAGCGGTACTCATTCTCCATGTGTTTGATGAAGGACTCGGTGGCAGAGTGGTGGTCCACGATGGTCACTTTGTCGCTCTGGGACACAGAAGGGACCAGGGCTCAGCAGGGAAGAGACTAAAGCAGCACCTCCCCAAGCTAGTCCCGGAGGTGACTCGAACCACTGTCTCTTTTCTCTGCACTGCTGTTTCCGTCTTTCTCCTGATTCCCAGGAGCACGTCTCTGTGTGGGGCTCTGTCTTTAGCACTTTCTAGCACCTTCCTCCCTACCACCCCACTTTTTTTTTTTTTTTGCTGGTATTCAGATCCTTGCACTCACTCAACTTTGTTTGCTCCTGGCTGGCACTCTACTACCTGAGTCACACCTCCAGCCCAGCTTTTTTTTTTTTGCTGATTATGTTGGAGATGGAGCATTGTGGACTTTTCTTCCCATGCTGGCCTGGAACTAAGATTGTCTCGACCTTTGCTTCCTGAGTAGCTGGGATGACAGGTGGTAAGCCACTCTACCTGCTTATGTCACTATCTAGTGTGAGTAAAAGTGCTTTCAGAAGTGTCATGATTGAAGCCAGGCGCTGGAGACTCTCACCTGTCATCCTAGCTACTCAGGAGGCTGAGATCTGAGGATCACGATTTGAAGCCACTCTGGGAAGGAATGTCTGTGAAACTCTTATCTCCAATAAGCTACTCAAAGCCAGAAGTAGAGCTGTAGTTCAAGTGGCAGAATGCTAGCCTTGAGCAACAAAGCTCAAGGACAGTGCTCAGTCCCTGAGTTCAAACCCCAAGACTGGCACCCAAACGAGAAATAAAAACAACAAAAAAGCACTCATGGTTTAGATCGTAGCCGTCAGAGCCATTCCCACAGAATACCATGTAGCAGGGAAGGGTGTCCAGGGTTTTGTGCAGAAGGACAAGGCTCCCTCCTCACAATTCTAGGGAGAGGTAGACAGCAAGTCACAGCCCCTCTCCCATCTCTGCGTCCAGTGGCTTCTACCCTGGACCCAGGGGACAGAGAGGCAGCAGATAGGCCGAGGGCCCAGCTGGTGGACAGAGGGCCCTAGAAAAGGCAGGTTTTGATACCTAGGCTTCTCAGCCCCCTGCCCAGGGCCTGGGAGGTTCCCAGTGACCTGTGAGGCCTGACCTTGACCGTGGCCTTGAGGCGGCCCTAGGCTACCTGGAAGCTGTACAGCACGGCGATGTTGATCTCCACCAGTGCCTGGTCCTTCCACAGGGAGGATGTCTTCCTCATGTCCAAGTTCATCTTCTTGGCTACTTCCTGAAAGGGAGAGGTGGGGGAGACGGCCACTCAGCCTGCATCTATCTGGATTTCAGACTGAAGAGGGACAGGGCTGGGGTCAGTCACTCAAAGCTAGCTCTCCAGCTTTTTTTGGGGGGGTGGTTCACTGGAGATGTGAGTCTCATGGACATTCCTGCCTGGGCTGGTTTTGAACCAGGATCCTCAGATCTCAGCCTCCTGAGCTAGGATGAAAGGTATGAATGACGAGGCCCGGCTTCTCTGGAGGGTTTTAAGCAGAGGGATGGATCTCGGAGGGGTCTGAAGAGCAATTTGTCCTTCTACCCCACCCATGGTCCCCAGCAGCCATTGCTTGGAATCTAGCCCATGGTCCCTGTGCTCATGGAAACACCCAGGGGACTCTTATCTGACAGAGGGGGAAACTGAGGCCTAGAGAGGTGCCTGGTCTCATGCAGAGCCTATAGAGCTGGCCGGCCTTGGAGGCCGGAGGCAGAGGGACGCTGCCCGTTCAAGATTCAGGATCAGCTGACGCCTTTGGCCAAATTAACTTGGTAGGGGGACGGAGGGGGGAAACAATGTGACATTTAGGTTTGGGCTGAGGCGTGGGTGTCAAGTGTGGGAGGCCCAGCGGCGAAGTCCTTAATTAAAGCCTGATTTCTCCTTCCTCTGTCAAGGCCAGCCACCCTGGCGGGGACCCAGGTCTCATTACGGGGGTTTCTTAGGACTGAGGAAATTGGTTCCCAGCTCCAGCTGTCAACATGCGTCCACAATGGCAGCTGGGACTGGAAGGCCGGGGTGGAGGAGGGTCTCATTTAAGCTACTCAGTGACCACTGTTTGCAAGTGACACATGTGCTGAGATCAGAGAGCGGACTTCCTAATTCATTCTCGCCAGCCCAAGCTGTCCGCTCTGCCTGGGCGACACATTGGAAAGCAAATGCTTTGCTTCTGCCTTACATACATAAATACTCGGCAGACTTGTTGTGTTTGCGACAGTGAGGGCGAATAGCCGTTCTCCCGGGACGGCAGCATTTTGATGAAAAGAATAAAAATTAAAAGCGTTCACCAAACAAAACAAACTTCTGAAGCCAGGTGCCAGTGGCTCATGCCTGTAATCCCAGCTATTCGGGAGGCTGAGATCTGAGGATAAAGGTTTGGGCAGGAAAATCTGCGAGACTTTTACCTTCAATTAACCAGCAAAAAGCCAGGATGGAGCTGTGGCTCAAAGTGGTAGAGCAGCAGCCTTGATTTAAAAAAAAAAAAAAAAAAAGCAAAGGGGCTGGGCACTGGTAGCTCACGCCTATAATCCTAGCTACTCAGGAGGCTGAGATCTGGGGATCACAGATGGAAGCCAAGCCAGGCAGAAAAAACCTTGTGAGGCTCTTCTATTCAATAAACTACTAAAAACAAAACACTCCCTCCCCCACCCCAGACCAAAGCCTCCAAACCAGAAGTGGTGCCGTGGCTCAAGTGGTAGAGCGCTAGCCTTGAGCACAAAAAGGCTTAGGGACATTACCCAGGCCCTGAGTTCAAACCCCAGGACTGGCATTTCAACACACGTTCTTAAGCCAGGGCATGTGTGCTGTGTGCTTGCCATGGTGATCACCAAGGAAATCTGCTGATGCCTCTGGAACTTTCCAGAAGCTTCCCCAGGATTGTCAGCGGGAGGTGGCCTAGCAGTGGCCTGGGCCTCCTGCCTCCCTCTTCCTGACCTCCAGGATGTTGTAACGTGAGTTGTCGCAGTAGTCCCGCACGCCGATCTCTGTGCCCATGTACCAGCCGCTGAAGGGGCAGGCGCTGAACTCCAGGCCCCCGATCTCCAGCAGCATGTTGGACACGGCCGGGAGCCCATACCACTTGAGGCCCAGGTCCTTGAACCAGTCAAACCTGCCGAGAGCAAGAAGGCCCAGCCGGTTACGGTGGGGCCTCCCAAGCAGACCCAGGCCCGCACCACCTCATCTCGGGGCGTTCACGTGACAGGTCCCCAGGGAGACCGATTGGGTGTGAACCGGACTCCTGGTGCCCAGCTTTAGCCCCGTGGAATCCCAGGTCCTGCCACTGGGGCTGGAGAATATGCACAGTGTCACAGGTTCTACAGAGGGATGCTTGGGCCCACAAAATAGGGCCTGGGGCTGCCATGAGTCTGCTAAACCCACTCACTCTCCTACAACTCAAGAGTGCATTTCTACTGTACCCCAGGGCCTTTGCACAGGTAGGGCTTTCTTCTTGGGAGTCTTCCACCCTTCCTTCCTTCCTTCCTTCCTTTTTTCTTTCCTCCCTCTCTCCTTCACTCCCTTTCTTCCTTCCTTCCTTTTTTCTTCTCTCCCTCCCTCCCTCTTTCTTTCTTTCTCTTTTGTTCTTTTGTTTTTCTTTCTTTCCTTCTTCCTTTCTTTCCATTCTTTCTTTCTTTTCCTTCCCTCCCTCTTTCCTTTCCTTCCTTCCTTCCTTCCTTCCTCCTTCCCTCCCTCTCTCCATCTTTCCCTCCCTTCCTTCTTTCCTTCCTTCCTTCCTTCCTTCCTTCCTTCCTTCCTCCTTCCCTTCCTCCCTCCCTCCCTCCCTCCCTTCCTTTTTTCCTTCCATGTTTCCATCTATCTATCCTTCTCACCTCGCACACTGCTCACTCAAGAAACTTGTCCCTGGTACCCAGCTGGGTCCAAGTAAAGTTCTTGTTTCCAGGTACCGTATTTCCTTTGCAACACTTTATTTGAATTCATTGTTGAGGTGAGGAATTGTGAGTCTAAGATCTCGTCCTCTCTGAGAAGGAAAAACTACAGAGGCCGAGACCAAGTGAGCCCCAAAGCTGGTACAACGCTGCTGGGAAGGGAGAGACAAACTGTGCTGAAAGAGCCAAGAGAGAAACGCGCAAAGGCCAAGTTCCATCCAGAAGAATGGTGGGCCTCAGCTTATGAAGTAACGTCAGAAGTGAGTGTAATATTTAGGGGTCCCCAGCAGACTCAGTACGTCAAGGTCATTATGTGTGTCTGTGAGATTGTAAATTAGTGCCATGTGTTTTGAAAAGCAAAAGTTATTGCAATATATATATATATATACACACACACACACACACACACACATATATAAATATAAATATATGAGATAAATTCAGTATCAAAATTGGCCATAGGGTCCCGTCCTGCTGTGTGTGACCCCTCTTTCTCTTCTCATCCTGATCTCCATCCTGAGCAGGATCTTGTTTTTATTTAAAATGTTCTCAAATGGTTCATTATACCTCTTAAAAAACATATTTAAAATACACTGCGATCACACACACGTTTATTTTGGTGGTGGTCCTGGACTTGAACTCAGGGCCTTTGTGCTACCCCTTAGCTTTTTACTCAAGGCTAGCACTCCACACCTCTCCTCCTGGCTTTCTGGGGGTTCACGGGAGAGCTAAGGGTCTCACAGGCTTTCCTGCCTGGGCTGGCTTCGAACCACGATCCTCAGATCTCAGCCTCCAGCATAGCTGGGATTATAGGCTGAGCCACGGGTGCCTGGCACATATTGCTTATCTTATTGTTGAGTTTTCTGCTTGTTGCTGTAGTGTTTTATATCTTTGCTCTCTACCTCAATTTTGTATCTGAGGCGAAAGCCTCACTGTGGTACAAACACAATTGCCTGTTGGCTGGGAGGGGAGGGCACAGATTCCCTTGAACTCGATCCACACGGGGTTCTTAGAGTTTCCTGTGGCTGCTTCCACTGCAGGCCCACCGGGCTCTTCCGCTCTAACACCAGGGCTGGGCAAAGGGTGGGCGCTGCCCTGGGGTTGCTCAGGGGCCAGAGAGCCTGGCCAGGGCTGATACCCCACCCACCCCTGCCCTGCAGACCTCCCCCCCATGCCAGCCCCTCTTACTTGGGGTGCCGGATGGGCACCTCCAGCACCAGCTCCGGGGGGATCTGGAAGAGCTCGGGGTCGTTGCCGTCCGCCTGCAGCAGCAGCGGCAGGACGTCGAAGCGGCCCCTCGGGGGCTTCCAGCCCTGCTGGATGCAGATCTGTAGAGAGACGCCAGTCTCATCACGGCCCGGCCCCCCCCCCCTCCCAACACCAGGGTCTCAGGGGCCTGGGATGCCAGTCCCTGGAGGCCACTCCCCCCTCCCCCTCCTTCCTTCACCACTGAACTGTAACTTCTATCGTGTGGGTCTAGGGATCGGACTGAGGGCCTTGTGCTGGCCAGGGCTCCGTCACTCAGAGATGCCCTCAGCCCCTTTGCTTTTAGTCCAATAGTATTTCACACTCCCCCGACACCGACCTTGGACTTCGATCCTCCTATCTCTACCTCCTGAGTAGCTGGGATTACAGGTGGGAGCGGGACACTGAGCCCAATGTAGACATTTTCAATAATGAATTTCAAACTCACAAATACACTTTGTATGAATGTTACCTTATTGATATTAAAATTGAAAAGGCATGAAACATATTGCTGTCAATATGTTCTCATACATTTGATATTACAACTAAATAGGTAACATATTCATCTAAAATGTATCAAATATATATATCACATCATAATGAAATACATTCAATTTCAACATTAATTTGTTAATGATAACTTTTTTTTTCATCATCAGTACTAGGGCCTGAACTTAGGTCAGGGTGATTTCCTTTAGCTTTTTCACTCAAAGCTGGTGCTCTACCACTTGAGCCACAGCTCCACTTCTGGTTTTTGTTTTGCTGGATAATTGGAGACAAGTCTCATGGACTTTGCTGCTCAGGCTGACTTCAAATCTTCCCCCAACCCCTACTAGACCAAGATTCAAACTTGGTATCTTATGTTTTTGACAATTGGCTGGTGCTCTATCACCTGAGCCACACTTCCATCCCCTAGCTTCAACTCTTGATTCTCAGATCTAGGCCTCCTGAGTAGCTGGGATTATAGGCGTGAGCCACCTCGCCTGGCTTCATAGTCATTTCAACATGTAACTGGTATGCATCTTTCCCCACTGTTGATGGGGAGAGATGGGGAGTGTTTTTGTCTAAGGTCCATCTCGGTTTGCCCTGACCACTGATAGGCACCTGTGGCTGAGCGCTGCCCCATGGGTCAGCACAGGGTTTAAGGGGGACTCGGGAAGGAGGAGGGATTATGTGTGGCTGCTCCTTGGGGCTGCGTGGGTGGAGACAGGGACACTGAACCCGGGGCTCAGGCGTGGCCTGGCCTGGCCCGTACGTTCTTCTAACAGCCGGGCAAGGTCAGCCAAGTACTGGGGTTAGCGCTCAGCCAAGTGGAACAGGAAGTCTGGCTCGGGAGACTGCACAGGTGCAGCGTGGTCGTCCTGGTTACCAGCCCTCCCGGGGCAATCAGCTTGCAGTAAGAAAAGCCACATGCAAATGAAGTGGCAGCAGGGAGAGCCCCACAGGGGTACAGGGTAGAGCCCAGGGCTCCCGACAGGGCGAGCAGGGGTGGGGCGTCACTGAAGGTTGTCTTCTGGCGTGGGGTCTGGGCCAGGGCATGCGAGTTGGGCATACTGGCCAACTCTAGCCTTTCATTTATGCATTTGATGGCCTTTGAGAGCCTCCGTTTACCCAGCCGGAGGACTGGGGGAGCCAAGGGCCTGAGCATGACCAAATGTCCCAGGAGAGGGGACCTCGGCAGCTGACGGTGTCGGGCGCCCGCTCGCACCTCTGTGAACTGCACGTTGGCCGGGTCCCCCAGCGTGGAGCCGTCGGGCTGCTTGTAGCCCGCGTAGCGGATGAGCTGCGAGTTCCACACCCGGAAGTCATGCTTGCCGTCTGTCCGCTGGGGGAATATGGTGATGGCCGACCTGCAAGGGCGTGGGGGCGGGGGAGGACAGAAGGGTGGACACAGGTGTCAGGGCAGGGCTGGCAGGCGCTGCCCAGGCCAACAGCTGCCTGATGCTCCAGGCGGACCGAACAGGTGCCAAGGTTCGTTCCCAGGGCACCTGGAGTCCCGCCGCTGGTAGAAGGGCAGCGGCCTCCTGGCAGGTAGCGGGTGCGGATTCTGGGCTGGCCTTCATCACCACCTGACTTCTGCATCCTGCGTAGCTGGGGTTCCAGGCGGGAACCACCAGACCCGGCCCAGGGGAGTCCTTCGTGCAGTAATCCATCTCCAGGGAAACCTCAGACCCTCAATCTCTTCAATCACTGTCAGGGGATTCTAGCCCCAGCCTTCCGCTCCCATCATCCCTCACTTGAGACAGGAAAAAAAACTCACAATAAACCTGCAGGCGTCCCATGCTTCCCTTCTCTTTGCCAACCCCAACTCTGCACCACAGCTCAGCCCCTCCAGGTCTCTAGAGCCTTACCCACACCCCGTGAAGGAACTCTTTGTCTATTGCAAAATTCATTTCAGTGATTGGCACAGTTGGGTTTTTTTGGGGGGCGGGTAGAGGGCCCTTGTTGGATAAGGCTTGCCCTTGCTCACCGCACTGAACTTCACAGACTTACCACAAAAAAAGAAATCAACTTGCATTTAAACATACGAGGGGAAAACTGCAGCTGTCCAAGCACTGCCCGTATGGGCCGTGCTTATAAAGCCTGGGGCCTGTTCTTAATAAATTGTCTACTGCCGCTCTTGTGGGCCAGGATCACAGTTCAGAGCAGAGCCAGCCCAGGCAGGTACATCTACAAGACCCTTATCCCCAATTAGCTAGCAAAAAGCTAGCTAATGGTGGTTCAAGTAGTAGAGCACCAGCCTTGAGTGTAAAAGACAAGCAAGAGCATATGACCCTGAGTTCAAGCCCCAGTACTGGCCCATGCGCGCACATGTGTGCGCGTGCATGTGCACACACACACACACACACACACACACACACACACACACGTTTAGGAAGAACAGAATTGCACACCACAAGCGGAGTGACATTTCCTTTCTGGGCAGGAACTGAGAGCCATGGGGGACAGAATACTTGGCTGCCATTCTTCTCCTCTGCCCCCTGAGCACCATCTCCCCGAAGGGCAGACAGATGCTCTATGAACCTTCTGTCTTCTGCCTTCTCTTTAGCCTGCCATCCTCTTAAGTATAATCCACCTCTACATAAGAGTACGTGACGTGAGGTTTAAAACCTAGATAAAAGTCAGCCAAATTCCTTCCTTCCTTCCTTCCTTCCTTCTTCCTTCCTTCCTTGGTACAGTTTGATTTCAAGGCTTCATGCTGGTACCCTCCTCCCCACTACCACCTTTCTTTTGGTCTTCATTTGCTCTTCAGATAGGGTCTCATGGCCAGCCTCAAACTGAGATCCTCCTACCTGTGTCTCCCACATAGATGGGACCACAGACATGAATGACTATGTCAAGCTTACTGGCTGAAATGGGGTCTTGGCTGTTTGTCTGGGTTAGCCTGAAACTGCAGTCCTTCTGATCTCTTCCTCTTGAGCTGCTGGGATTTCAGGAGTGAGCTCCTGCACCTGGACGAGTATTTTCTTTAGTAGGTCTGATGAAGACGCCACACAAGATAATTGAGCTAAAGGATGGTCTAGGTGATCCTCTCCCCTCCTGTCACTGCTCACAGAACATTCTGGAAATCATTGGAATCACGCATAAAGTTTGGGGCTTCACCATGGCAAGGTGCTACTCCAGGTGGAGAGGATATGCTAGAAAGTTCTTTGCTGATCAGGGTAAAGAGACCCAAATAATTTCCCACCCGGGCCCATCCGTACTGGTGGGTACACTGGGGTTAGCAAACAGGGTCCAAGAAAGTGGAAGTCCAATGCAAATGAGCCCAATGCAAATGAGCCACTTCAGGTAACCTGGCATGAGGGATCATGGGAATATCCCTGAAGCTCCCAAGAAGGAGCTGGTACTCAAGCTAGGAACATACACTGGCAAGCCAGACAGGCAGAAGCGGTCAGCTGTCTGCGGGGCTTCCAGCCCAGCCCAGCCTGGTGGGGAGGCTCACTCACTCCTCAGCAGCTCTGTTCTTTCTATGCACACAAGAGGAGTCAAGGCCAGGCACATGAAGGCACGGTGCCCAGGCAGCAGGAGGAGACATTGCTTTGTAAAGCGGGAGAGGAGGAGGCAGCTCCGGGCAACAGAGCTGGGCTCAGAAAAGCAGGTCATCACTGGCAGTGGGATTTTCCTCCTTGGAATAAAAAAGACTTCCTCTCGCTTGCCCCGTGGGTGGTGAACTATAGTAAACATGGTGTGTGTGTGTGTGTGTGTGTGTGTGTGTGTGTGTGTGTGTGTGTATGGAGCTTGAACTCAGAGCCTGGGCACTGTCCCTTTGCTTTTCTGCTCAAGACTAGCACTCTAACAACTTGAGCCACAGCTCTACTTCTAGCTTTTTTAGTGATTAATTAGAAATAGAGTCTCAAGGACCTTCCTGTTCAGGCTGGCTTTGAACTGCAATTCTCAGGTCTCAGCCTCCTGAGTAGCTCGAATTACAGGCAGGAGCCACTAACACCAGCCCATTGCTATAGATTCATAGACCCCCCTGGGAGTCTGTTCCTCTCAGAAAAGTGACCGTGGTGTGGAATACCAAGATCCCTGTCCTGGGGTGGCCCAAGTTGGGGGCACCTCCCTGCAGCTCCATGAGCCAAGACTCCATGCTACATGGATGCTTGCCACCCCCCCCAGCCCACCCCTCCCCGCAGGTGAGCTCACCTGAGGTTGCCTTTGTTGGTGGCGTACTTAATGTGGTTGCAGATGTAGTTGAACATCCCGTGAGCTGTAGTGCAGTCTCGAGCATCGAACACCTGGAAGAAATGAATGAGGAGAATGATGGCCGCCTTCCCTCCCTCTCCCCCTGCCCTCTTCCCCACCATGGCCCCAGTGCACGGCCCCCTGGGCCTCCTCCCCTCTCCCCCCAGCTCCAGCCTCATTTGAACAGTGAGCACCTCATTACTGAGGCTCAGGCTGGACTTGCGACTTTCTGCTTTGTCTGTGCTGATTACCAGAGCCAATCAAAGCAGAAAGAGTCCCTTGAAAGTAGGCATGGAGTGAAAAATATTTTTAAAAAGGATAGGAGAATAAAGGAGGGAGTTCTAATGAGCTGGCTATATTTTCTATTAGGTAATTAGGAATTTTAGGGATTAGAAACAAAACAAGCAAGCAGATGCTGGTGGCTCACACCTATAATTCTAGCTACTCAGAAGGATCGCAGTTCAAAGCCAATCTGGGCAAGAAAGTCCATGAGACTCAGGAAAAGCCAGATGTGGGGTTGTGGCTCAAGTGGTAGAGGGCTAGCCTTGAGCACAAAGAAACTTGGGGACAGCACCCAAGCTCTGAGTTCAAGCCCCAGGACTGGCAAACAAACAAACAAAGTGATTCTAATAATGAATCGACCTATAACATTAAAGTATTTCCTAGTATAAAATCACAGGAGGAGGCACCAAAATTAATGTCTCAGGGGAGGAGGTAGAGAGATAAAGGAACAAAGAGAGCAAAGGTGAAGACAAGAGGTAGTGGGAGGGTCTGGAGTAGACGGGAGGATGAAAAGCCCACCCAAGAGATAACACACACTTCATTGAACAAAAACCCAGTAGGGGCTGAGTGAGACGTGACTATGGCCAGGCTTTGGCCATGATCTCAGAACCTGCACCCCCCACCCCTGCCTCCCCAACCTGAGCCCCTTACCATAGAGAGGTCCCTGCAGGAGCACCAGGGTGTAACTACCCATGCTCTGTCATCATGGCCACAGGGGAAAGGATCTACACTTGTCGGAGCTCCACAGGCTCCCCCTCTCTCATCCCCTCCCCATCGCATTCCCATGTGTCCCCGCCCGTCCCCCACCCCAGCCCCTCACCTGCAGCTTGGACCATTGGATCCTGCCCACGCAGCGGGCCGCGTTCCGCCAGGCGTGTTTGGCCCCATAGATGAGCTCCGTGTCCTTGAGCTGGTAGGTGCTGGTGCTCTTGATCTCTTTGCTCACCTCCTCCAGCCTGTCCATGTGAGCTTTGGAACCAAACCTGAGTGGGAGGGGAACAGGTGGACATAACCCCACTGCTTTGCTTTGGAAGAGTCCCTACTCCCCCTTTCTTGGTTCCCCCCCCCCCCAGGCAAAAAAAAAAGGCCCATGAGCTAAATAAGGCTGTTGGTACTATTGGGAGGGGGTGGCCCTTTAAGGAATGAGGTCTAGAGGGAGGAAGTTAGGTCATTGGAGGGGCGTGGCCGAAGGCCCCCTCCTCCCCTCTGCTTCCTAGCTTCCATGATGTGAGCAGCTTCCTTCACTACCCAAACAACCATGGATGGATGGAAACCTCTCACGCCGCCGTGAGCCACAATCAACCTTCTCCTCCCGTGAAGTTGATCCCCTGCCGTGTTTATTCTGTCTCAGCCACGGAGACTAATAGAACATTTGCTCTCCCGTAAAGTTGAGTTTGGTGCAGGGGAGGAGATCTTACAGGAGGCCAGAGGCTCTCCAAGTTCCATGTTGACTTCTGTATACATCCAAGGACTGGAGTGAAAAGCAGGCACCCTGCACTCAAAGGCTTATAACTTTCTGGTGCTGTGTGTCTGATAAAACGGCTGAGTGGTGAGTGAGGTTAACAGGGAGAGCCAGGTCTCGTACACAAGGGGCAGTTTGTTTGTCCCTTGGGTAGGAAGGGGGCTCAGGGCTGCCAGATCTTGTTCAAGAGAAACTGGAGATCTGATTTTATTTTCCCCCTCTGGCCCTGGAGCTTGAACTCTAGGCCTAGGTGCTGTCCCTGAGCTTTTGTGCTCAAGGCTAATGCCACAGCCATACTTCTGGCTGTGTGTGTGTGGGGGGGGGGGGTTTAATTAGAGATAAGAATCTCATGGACTTTCCTGCCCAGGCTTGATTCAAACTGTGATCCTCAGATCTTAGTCTCCTGAGTAGCTAGGATTACAGACTTGAGCCATCAGCATCTGGCTGAGATGTGATTTTTTTTTAAAGTTTTATATGTTGGCTATGCATTCGATCTTAGAAAGCTAAGCCATTTCTATGAAACATTTTAGGCTTCTAAGAAGGTCCCAAGCACCCTGTCTCCAGCCTACGGAGCAGTATTCTAGTTCCTTGGGGATGATGACCCCTCTGTAGCCCACTATCCCCAGAAACAGATGCTGTCTTGTTTCCTTTTTCTTTTTGTGTTGTTGTTGTTAGAGGTATTCAAGATTGAACTCAGGACCCTGCATTTTAACACTTGAGCCACGCTCTCTTCTAGCCCTTTTATTGGTATTTCTGTTTTTGAAACAGGGCCTCTCCAAACTTTTTCCAGGCTGGCCTTGAACTTGCAATCCTCCTGTCTCAGCCTCCAAAGATGCTGGAATTCCAGGCATATGCCAACATGCCCAGCTTAGACTGTCATGTTTTCCTACTATAAACCATGTGTCGGTGAACATGTCTTCTCACAGATGCCTTCTTGGGAAATAGTCTGAATATTGCTCTAGGTGTGACCATGTTTGAAATGTCAGGGATGTGAAGCTACCCTTTGCAGGCCAAATAAGAGCCCTTTGGGCTGGCTGGCCCTTGGGCTGCAGTGTTCCATCCTGTGTAGAACAGAGACCTTAAGCCCAGGCCTGGGTTTAGTGTCTGCAAATGTGGCACTGAGATCTTTGGTCCCTCACTAGTGAACACCAAGCTCCCCAGAGAACCAGAAACACTTACCTTTTAATGGATGAATAATACTGATCGATGAACTCTTTGGCGAGGGGGAAGAGCTGGTCCTTGGGGCGGACATCTTCAGGCTTCCTGGTGTGCTGCGTGGGCAGCATGATGGAGCCCATGCAGATGTGTTCTGTGCACCCCGTTTCCTGGAAGCCAAGAAAGAGATGGACTGGTGCTTGGCTTCACCCAAGCTGCACACTAGAGCCTGATGCCCCGGGCTGAGCTGACCCGGTCTCTTCATTCCAAGGAAGAATGGAGCTAATGGCCAGCCCTGGATGGCCTGTGGATGTGACCACAAGCCAAGGGAAGGAGCAATCATCCGGATGTTAAAGCTCCTAGGGAGTTTGCACACATCAATGAGGGACCCTGGGACTAAGAACGGGAATCATGGGTAACCACATTCCCGAATATCTTTTCAGTCCAGGTTGATCAAAAGGGAGCACACGGAGAGGCTTCTGGCACTCATTTGAACACATTTACAGTTGATCTGTTGACAAAATGGTCCCAATCCTTCTTCTGCCTATAGTCTGACTGAGTGTCCAGCATCTCACACCAGTGGGTGTGCAGCCCCTCTCCCTGCCCTTGAGCTCTGGGCTGATTTTGGTCCCTAGCAGGTGGTAGGCCTAGGTCTGAGCCTAAACCCTAAGAGGTTCTGCCAACTGGTATGAGGAGCCACCACTCAGAGTGGAGTTACCCCAGCTGGGGCTGTTCTAGAGCAAAGCCTGCGGTTAGCTGTGCCCTCAGATGACTGTGGGTACTTGAGATATAGCCATGAGATCAACTGCTTCTGGTCCACCCATACACACACAGAACCCTCTGGCTAAATGCACTGACTTTTTGAAAAAAAAAGTAAGAAATAGTAGGCATTTCCAGCTGCTACATTTGGGGCCTGTTTGTTACTCAGCCATGGCTAACAGATACAATATTTCTCCAAGACGCTCCCACCCCCGAAGTTGAAAAAAAACACTGAAATTTTCAACCCAAATTGAAAGCAGTACTGGTGCATGGACAAGAATTGAGAGGCTATCCTACACAACCAAGGCTGGGTTTGGTTAGTGTCCATCCTTGGGGCTCTGAGAAGCAGAGAAAGCGCTCAGAGCTGGCAGGTTCCCGGGGACCCTGTTTGGATAAAGACAAAAATCTAGGGATTAAGTGAGTCAGCATCTGTCTGGTTATCCACCAGGGATGAACTTCTGCCCACGGATGTTTGGTGAGGCCTGGGGCCTTTGGGATGGTCTCAGCAGGGGTGGGGTATGGACGTGTGGATGGAGAGTGCCAAGATGGAGCCCAACTGGGCCCTGCCCTGCCAGCTACTCACCAGCGTGCTTTTAAGGTGGAGGGTGTCGGTGAGGACCACATCCGTCTCCCAGTTCTTCACCTTCAGGAAGCGGGGGCCCTTGGAGGGGCTGCCGTTCTTGGTGGGAGACTGTTTGCCGGAGGTGGGGGGCTGGAGGAGAGGAGAGAGCAGAGTATCAGGCAGGGCCTGGCGGGGATGGGAAGGTGTTCCCCACCGCCATGGGGCAGCTTTGCTGTTTCCGGTGTCTGCTGAGGCCCTAACTGTCTGGACCCCAGAGATGGAGCCAGGTAGGGGGTTTCTGGAAGCAGGAGAAAAGGAATTTCTTCGAGATCCGGGACAGTGTCTGGCACAGCAAAGTGTGGACTCAGCAGACTTGTTGAGTGAATGGAGGCGCTGGTAACTAAGCAGAGAGGGTAACACAAGTGCAAAAACCCCACCAACAGGTGGGTCCTGGTGCTGCTTCTCATCCCCTGTTCTGCCCTTCACATTAGCCTTCTAAGTAGCTCTTGAATCCAGCACCCTTCTCCATCTCTCCCAGCTGGCACCCTGGCCAAGCCACCACCATCCTTGAGTTGGAACGTTAGCTGTTCTTTATTACCATGTACTCAACACCAAGTACCCAGTAGTACTTAGTTCCAGTACTGTCGTTGTACTATGCTATAAGTATCGCTACCATGGGCTATGCTCTCAATACGACCCCTTAAAAGCTTGTGGGCTGGAAGTTTATGTTGTAAACGTGTAGTATTTTGGGGTCTGGTGTGTTTGGGAGGTGTTAGGGGTCATGACAAGGGGGCCTTATCATGGATTAGTGGTTTAGGCGAGGCCAGACCTAGTACATATGATGATAGCCATGTGATGTGCCCTGCCTTGCCATGTGATGGCTTGGTGTCACACAGCACCACGTTCTTCACATCCCAGCCTCTGGGAGCACGTGTCTCAGAAACCCTGACAGCACCAGCAAACGGACCTGGACAGTATCCTGAGACCACACTGGGCAGCCAGAGGAGGAAGAGGGGTGCGCGGTGTTCCCTATCTGTCCTTTCTACCCCGCCAGACCCCAGGGTGTCTCGCTTGTGCCTCTGAATGTAAGTGGAGAGGAACAGCACCCCCCCCCCCCCCCCGCTGAAGACCTGGACAGACATCTTACTTCTTTTTTGGTCAGTTGTGGGGCTTGAACTCAGGGCTTGGGTGCTGTCCCTGAGCTCCTTCTTTTGCTCAAGGTGAGCATTCTACCACTTGAGCTACAGCGCCACTTCTGGTTTTCTGGTGGTTCATTGGAGATAGGAGTCTCACAGACTTCCCTGACTGGACTGGCTTCGAATCCCCATCCTCAGATCTCAGCCTCCTGAGTAAGTAGGATGACAGGCGTGAGCCACCAGCGCCCAGCAACATCTTCCTTCTTCAGCGCTCTGTGTCTCCTCCCCCTCGTCTCCCAGCAGACCTGCAGCTTAGGGCCTCCGCCTCTTCGCTGATCTCTGATAGCCCCGACAAACTGCATCTTCGAGGAACAAATGCCGCCTTGCCCCTGAGACTGGGTGTCACGCAGCCAGTCTAGCAGCTCTCCAGGCCTCCCACACCGATGGCCCCGGAGCCAAGAAGCAGCCAGAGGTGTCTCTAGGGTGTGGGAGGGCAGACGGGGCGCGGGGGTCGGGGGGGAGGTAGTGTGGGGCATGGCTGGTGGGGCAGCAGCCACCAGCTCTCCCTGCCTGGATGGGCGCAGGGGGAGGGACAGGATGGCCCCCCCACAACAGAAGAGGCCATCTGCTCTGGTTCCAGATGTGCACCGGGCGGTGGCTGAGAGCCCAGTGATTGGCGGTCGGGGGAGCCCGCACCACCCTCCTCTCCGCGCCCCAGCGCAGGGCGGGCACACTTGAAACTGGGCTGTTGCATTTGAAGCGTTGACGTTTTAATTAGCCAGCAGTGGCGCTGGGTGACTCAGGAGGGGCATGCGAGGGGACTAATATAGCAGACGGGGCCCTGTGTGTGGGGTGTAAAAGACTGGGCCAAGTGGAGGGCCCAAGGGCTCCCCTCAAACACAGATCAGCAGCACGGGGAGGCGGGGGAGGTCTTGGGAAAGGGGTGCAAGTGAGCCGTGGCTGTGTGTGTGTGTGTGTGTGTGTGTGTGTGTGTGTGTGTGTGTCCTTTCTGGGCTCTGTGTCTGCAGGAGGGCGGGAAGACAGCAGCTTCCCCAAAGTGGGGGCTGCAAGGGGCCTCCCTAAGATGGCTTCTAAATTTGCAGGAGCAGCTGTGGTCTGTGGGCTTTGGTTCTCAGACTCTTTGGAACAGATGAAGGAGCTTGTCACCCCTGAATACGAGAGGCCCTGAGGCCTCTTTCAGGACCTGGACCGCAAGGCCTTCCCCCTGGCCCCCTTCCTTCCTGCTTTCCTCCCCTTCCTCTCCACATAAGAACATAGCAGGAAGGAGGGCCGGCACTGTACTGTGCTGTCACCTGGATCTCTGGCTATGCGCACTGCCTTCCGGTTGCTTCAGTGGCCCTGTCAGAGCTCCCGGGGGCCCGGGCCTGCATGGACTCACGCAGTCCAAATGAAGTTGGAATCTGCAGTCTCAGCCCAGGACGCTGGTCTTGACATGGAGGAGAGCAGAGAGGCCCAAGCTGCTGAGCTGAGAAGGGCCCCCGTCGGAGCCAGGTGTGGGGAATACAGATTACTCCTTTCCACACCCCACAACAAGCCCACCCTGAACGGAAAATACCCAGAGTTGAAGGGCTGGGTCCAATAGCTCCTGCCTGTCATCCCAACTCCTTGGGAGGCGGAGGTTGAGAGGATCACAGTTCAAGGACAGGCTGATAAAGTGTGGGAGACTCTTTCTCAATCAACAAGCCAAGTATAGTGGCATACTCCTGTCACTCCAGCTACTCAGAAGGCATAGGTAAAAGAATCATAGTACAAGTGGGTCCTGAGCAAAAAAAATGAGAGCCTATCTTTAAAAAAAAAAATGGCATCAAGCACAAAAGGGCTGGAGGTATGTGGCTCAGGTGATAGAGTGCCTCTCTAGCAAGTGGCAGGCCACGAGTTCAAATCCCAGGATGGCCAAGAAAAAAAAAAGCAAAGGCAAAGCAAAGCAAAGACCTAAGTTGAAAATTCATGGACCCAGGAGCACCCTAGCTAGCTGAGCAACCGGGCACAGGAGTGTTGGTTGTTTCCTTGGTGATCATGGGGCTGACAGGAAGAACTGAGTGCCCTGCTGTGTGCCACAAGTGTGATTTCTACCAAATCGCACGGCTTCGGTGTCATTGGAAAGTCTGGTCCCGAGCCACACGTGAACACGATCGCAGAACTGTGGGAGGACGGCGGGTACAGAGACAGAGAGGTGGAGAGGCCACAATGGCAGGAAACAGAGCTGTGGAAGCAGCAGGACTGGGAGAAGAGTCGATGAGAGCCTTGGGGTGTGAGGGAGAAGGAGAAAGAGAAGTCAGTGTGGACTGGGGGTGGGGGTGGGGGTTCTGGCGTCAAAGCCTCTGGAAGGTTCTGGAAGGTTCTAGAAGGTGGCAAGCCTCTTAGCTGATGTTGGGAAGGAGAGGACGATAGACCCTCAGCACCAGAGTCTGGAAGCCATGGAAACAGGGGCTGCCTTCGTAACAGTAGTTGTCATTGTCACCATTGTCACCATCACAATCATAATCTCCCAGCGAAGCCAGCCGAGAGCCATGGTGAGGGCAGTTGACCGTTTGGGGATTGCTATGGGCTGAACGATGCCCTCCCCTAAGTCACAGGCCAGTATCTTCAAACCCTGGCGGTTGCCTGCCGCGGATCCAGCTGTCTATGGAGGTTCTCAACGTAAAATGAGGGCGCAGGACCCTCCTGCATCCAATACAGCTGGCGTCCTTGTAAACAAGAGAAAATAAAGGGACTTTGGAGACAGATATGCAAGCCGGAAGGAGGCAGGTCACGTCACCATGAAGTTGGCTGTCTCCTCACACCGACAGAGGCCTGGGGCCTGAAGGACGCACCCTGCCAACACTTTGACTTTGTCGTTGTGTCTCTGCGATGAGACACGGAGTGTGTAAGGAAGGCACTGGCATGGCGGAGCTTGGTTAGGCAGCCCTGGCAAACGAACCCAGGGCTGCAGCCTGGGCGGAGGAGAGACCCGCAGTGCCCTGCCCCGCCTGCCTGGTTCTGAAATGAGGGCAAAGCACCAGGGCTGAACTGGGCAGTGGGCCATACACACCAGGGGCCAGACGCCACACACCAAGCCCTTCCTGCAGCCCTGGGCAAAGCTACTCCACCCTGTGGGTACCACCTCCCCGTGCCAGCGAGCATAACCCGGTTATGAGCTCAGCGTCCAGGAGCACAGCCCTGCAAAGCAGCAGGAACCCACTCACCCGTGCAATTAACAAATCGCTGCTTAGAGAGGCTGGGAGTCAGAGGTGCTGTATTCAAATCATGGCGGCTAGAGAGGTTGGTCTGCTTGCTTTGCTTTTCCTGCCTTACCTCCCCAATTGGACAATATGTTTTGCAGTCTGTGGGGGCTAGGAAAAAAGGGCTGCTGAGGTTCAGATCTGGGAGTTGATGTCCCAAGATCACAGGCCATGAGGTAGTCTACATCTCACCGGACAGCTTTAAACACAAGTCTCATGACCAGGCAGAATGGATAGGTGCACCAGAAATTAATTGAAACCACAAATCCTGTAATTATCTCGTGGCTTCTCTCTTCCCCCACGGTCCTGCTTTGTTTCTGGGTGCATCTGTTCACGAGCCTTAGCTTGCTTAAGGGCGAATGTTGAAATCATGCAAGCTTTTTGCCTTTAAACACCTTGGAATGGCAGAAGAGAAAGGAGGTCATCTCTCTCGTGACTTCTAAGTTTCTGTTTGGAGAGGGTTGGGGAAACATATAGATTTAAAACAAAAAAACCAAAGCACTCTGACTGACTGAAGGCTTCAGGGAAAAAGATTTGAATCCCGGGTGAGGTTGTACATTGAGAAGTTTCTCTGTCTGGGTCCCTAAAATAGGATATCATTGTCCCGAGAGAGGGACGGCTTGGGCTGAATACACTCACTCCTAAAACACACAGCAAAATACGTGGAAATTCCGTCACAGCTCACAATCTACACGCCGCTACACGCCTTCCATTCAGGCCCTATTTCCTGACTCCACCCTGGCCCCACACTCCCCCAGCAGCAGGAAAGTGT